GCAGTGGAAGATGGCCTAAGTGCTTGGGGCCCTCTCAAATAAATAAAAGCTTTAAAAAGGGAGAAGACTGAGCAACTAGCTTCGGCATCCCTGCTCTGTGCTGACCACGGTGACCTACGTTCATTCACGCCCACAGCCATGTTAGGGTGGGTTATTCAGTCCCTGCTTTGCTGTGGAAGCTGAAATGCGACAACTTAGCAGGAATTGTGGGTGAACCGGGGTTGCGGTTGGACTTAACTGGTGCTGCTCGGGTTGATGCCATGTTAGACTCTACTTCCGGAATGTCTGCAGGGCCCTTGCCCTGTCTCCGGCTTCTGGCTCTGGCTGGCTGCGCCCCGGTCCCTGCCCTGCCTAGCCAGCCAGCTGCAGCAGTGGCAGAGGCAGGATCTCTGTGACCTGCCTGCGCCAGGGGACTCCCCGTTCTCACTCGAGTCAGATCTGAGTGCCGCACAGTGGAATCAAGGATCTGTCCACCTCTGCCCCGCCATCTAGTGCTCCTCCATGGCAAACAAAATGTTAGCAAACAGGGTTGAGTGTTTCACTCCCCTGGGCTCAAAGTCCTTAAGTCTGTAAACAGTGTCTGTGCTGCGGCGGGCACTGCGGGACACAGGGAAGCTGCCACGTGGGATGCCTGTATCCCACACTGGAGCATTCACGACCCGGCTACTCTGCTTCTCATCCACCTCCTGAAGTGCCTGGAGGCAGCGTGTGAAGGCTCGAGGAACTGATTCTGAGGCCCTGTGTTGTGCAGAGTAGGGTAAGCTGCCGCCTGCAGCGCCGGCATCCCACATGGGCACCGGTTCTGGTCCTGGCTGCTCCACTTCTGATCCAGCTCTCTGCTATGGCCTGGGAAAGCAGTAGAAGATGGCCCAAGTCCTTAGGCCCCTGCACCCACGTGGGAGACCCGGAAGAAGCTCCTGGCTCCTGGCTTCGGATTGGCTCAGCTCCAGCAGTTGTGGTCATCTCGGGAATGAACCAGCGAATGGAAGACCTCTCTCTCTCTCTCTCTCTCTCTCTCTCTCTCTCTGTGTATAACTCTGACTTTCAAGTAAATACATAAAGCTTTTTTTTTTTTTTTTTAATTTGAGAGGTAGAGTTACAGACAGTGAGAGAGACAGACAGAAAGGTCCTCCTTCCGTGGGTTCACTCCCCAAATGGCCGCAACGGCTAGAGCTGTGCCCATCCGAAGCTACAGTGCTGCCCTTTTATGCATTTATTTGAAGGCACACTACAAGTGAAAGAGAGAGAGAGAGAGAAAGAGGAGAGAGAGCGCGCGAGCGAGCTTCCACCCACTGATTCACTCCTTAAAAGCCTGAAGGCTGGAACTCCCTTTAGGTCTCCCAGCAGGTGGCAGGGGCCCAGGTACTTGAGAGACCATCTGGTACTTGGCCCACACACTTGAGATACCCAAGAACTTGAGATCCATGGTCTTCCATGTGGCTGCAGGGGCCCAAGCTCTCGGGCCATCCTCTGCTGCTTTCCCAGGCGCATTAGCAGGAAGCAGCAGGGCATCAAATCAGCATCCATATGGGATGCGGGCATCACAGGTGGCTGCCTAACCCACTACGCCACAGCGCCAGCCCCCTCCCCATGTCTAAATTTAATTACAAAGGCAAAGGATGGAGGGGAGGAGAGAGGAGACAAATCATCAGCTAACATCTTCAAGCCAGACCAACAAGAGCAACCATTCGTGTACTGAAATTTCAACTCAAAACCCCAGGGACGGTGGCAGGTGTTAGGGCTACTGGCTGCTGCTAGCTCCAGCCCCACCTGTTACACTCCAGATCCAGCTCCTGGCTAATGCACCTGGGAACGCCACGGACAATGACTTAAGGTCCCTGCTCCCATGTGAGAGACCCACAGGGAGTTCCAGGCTTCTGGCTTCAGCCTGGCCCTGACTCAGCTGTTGTGGCTATTTGGGGAGTGAACCAGTGTATGGAGGATCTCTTTCTCTCTGTTTCTCTCTCTCTGTCACTCTGCTTTTCAAAATAAAAATAAATATTTTAAAAAATCTCAACAAGGGGCCAGCCCTGTGGCATAGCAGGTAAAGCTGCCGTCTGCAGTGCTGGCATCCCATATGGGTGCTGGTTCATGTCCCAGCTGCTCCACTTTTGATCCAACTCTGCTATGGCCTGGGAAGGCAGTAGAAGATGGCCCAAGTGCTTGGGCCCCTGCGCCTGCATGGGAGATCTGGAAGAAGTTCCTGGCTCCTGGCTTCAGATTGGTCCAGCTCCAGCCTTTGTAGCTATTTGGGGAGTGAACCAGCAGATGGAAGACTTCTCTCTCTTGCTCTGCCTCTGTCTCTCTGTAACTCTGCCTTTCAAATAAATAAATAAATCTTTTTTTAAAAAAAATCTCAGCGAGTTGGCCATCAAGGTACCATCTCATTCTGCTTACAACTCCAACCAATCTGGAACCAAGAAATATTTCTCCTTATAGATTGTCCCCATCACAAAACTTTGCCCTTTTTTGGACGTCCAGCCCCTCTTGGTGTTAGGTAGGAAGCTAGGAATTATCCTCTGCGTGTGAGGGGGCCCAGGGAGAACGCGGCAGCTGCAGAAGCTCCCCTTGGAAGCAGCCCAGTATTTCACACCACAAAGCGCACCCACGCCTCTACAGGGGTCTCAGCCTTCCCCGAGGGAAGCTCCCCAGGGGAATCCTCTCCCTCAGCACCAGGCGGGTTACCCGGCTGATGACACGGAGCGACAAAACCCTCACAGCCCCATCCAAGGCAGGCCCGCAGAGGGCAGCCCTTCTGCCCTGCGCCAGGTGGGCTCCCCGGCCTGACAGCTGAGGAGTGAAAGCTTGGGGGGATTTCACCTGATTCACACTCCGCAAACCCCTGTCCTGGAGGAGGAGGAGGAGGGGAAGGAGAACCGGGGTAGGGGGAGGACTGCACCCCTTTCCCTTAGATGTCCTATGCCCAGCTCTCCACTCTCTGCTGAGCCGCCCGCCTGGCCTGCCGGGAGTGTTCTCTCCATAGAACCATGGAGCCTTGCTCTCCCGGGTCTGAGAGCCTGGGCACTGTCTCTCAGATTCTGTACCGTTCGTTCTGACGGATGCCCTAGCCCAGAACATCTTGCTACTGTGCTTACACTGCTCTCTGTCTCACCCCTGAATTCTTTCTTGCGCGAAGACAAGAACCTCGCCCACCCATCGCCAGTAACATTACCTACAGACACTGTAGACACTGTACACAATTCTTTTAAAGACTTATTTATTTATTTGAAAGTCAGAGTTACACAGAGAGAGAAGGAGAGGCAGAGAGAGAGAGAGAGAGAGAGAGAGAGAGGTCTTCCATCCGCTGGTTCACTCCCCAATTGGCCACAACAGCCAGAGCTGCGCTGATCCAAAGCCAGGAGCCAGGAGCTTCTTCCGGGTCTCCTGTGCAGGTGCAGGGGCCCAAGGATTTGGGCCATTTTTCACTGCTTTCCCAGGCCATAGTAGAGAGCTGGATCGGAAGAGGAGCAGCCAGGACCAGAACCGGTGCCCATATTGGATGCCGGCACTGCAGGCGGCGGCTTTATCTGCTAAGCCACAGCGCCGGCCCCATAGTCACTGTACACAATTTACACTTTCTTTTCCCCAAATTCCACTGTAAAATAATCCAGCTTTTTAGACCCAGTGCTCCCTACCCTTGCTGCTGGCGGCTGCAGGAACTTCTCCCAGGGCAGGTCCGTCCTTCCGGCTAGCATCTGTAGCGGCTCAGCAAGTCTCCTATATCAGAGGCCTGCTACTCTCAAGAGTTCTGGCTTAAAAGGCAAAAGCCGTGTTGTTGTGGCGAATTCTTATCTGAATTCTCTGAGCTCATGTCTGAATCAGCTGCTGAGTTTGATGAGGTTGCTAAGAAACTGGGACCAGAGACTGCCCAAGGTGTCAGCGCTGGAGTGCAGGGGTCCAGGATGAGCAGGGAGGGCCCCTCCTTGCCTGTCTCTCATCCCGTATCGGAGTATGGTCCCAGTCCTGGCTGCTCTGCTTCTCATCTAGCGAACGCGACTGGGAGGCAGCAGAGGATGGCTCAAGTACTTGGGTTTCTGCCGCCTGTGTGGGAGCCCTGGAGTTACGAGCTCCTGGCTTCAGCCTGGCCTAGTCTGGGCTATGGGGGCCATTTGGGAGTGAACCAATGGATGCAAACTCTGTCAGTCTCTGTGCCTTTCAAACAAATCAATATATCTTTTTAAAAAAGCGGAAAATACTGGGGCCAACGCTGTGGCACAGCAGGTTAGGCCGCCACCAGCAACGCAGGCACCCCGTGTGAGTGCTGGTTCTAGTACCGGCTGCATAACTTCCTACTACTTTGCCTGGGAAAGCTGTAGAAGATGACCCGAGTGCTTGGGCCCCTGCCACCTGTGTGGGAGACCCAGATGGAGTGCCACACTCTTGGCTCCTGCCTGGCCCAGTGCCAGCCATTGCAGCCATCTGGGTAGTGAACCAGGGAATGGAAGGTCTCTCTCTTTCTCTCTATCCCTCTAATTCTGCCTTTCAAATAAATAAATAAATTTTTAAAAAATAAAAATTAGGGGAATAAATAAGTGGATGTAAAATCTGTTTTTCCTGTCTGTGTCTCTCTTAACTTTCAAATAAAAATTTAAAAAATAAACAGAAAATATCGGCCTCACCAAGACTTTTCCCAGTCTGAGCAGCTCAAGAACAATGATTTTTACCTGATCGATGTAGGATGCAGTTAGGCGGTGGACGCACCACGCAGAGCCGCTAGACGGCGCTGTCTCGCCTAGGGACCAGCGTGACGGGCAGGACGAAACCCGCGTCCCTGGGGGAGGAGTCGGCCCGGGGCTCGCGAGGAAGCGCGCGGAGCCCGCCCCACCGACGGCGCATGCGCATCCCCGGTCCCGCCCCATCCCGCTCGGGCTCCCGCCTCCACTCAGGTAGGGGGCGGCGTGCAGGGGGAGGGGCGCCACCTGAGGGCGGGGCAGGACGGGGCGTCTCAAGGTCTCGGGGTTCCTTTGTGGGCGACCCCTGACTTCCGGTACGACTAGTGGCTGCTTCTGCGGTTGCCTTTCCCGGGGTGGGGGGCAGTTTCTGGGTCTGGGGGCTGCCGGGGACCCAGGCATGCCCCCACCTTTGCAGCGCCCGCCCCGGGGCCTCCGCACCGCCTGCACTCCAGCCCCCGCGGCTGCAGCCCCGGAGTCGGGTGACCTGGGTAGCTTGAGGACGCCGGGGCTGGGCAGGTGCCAGGAGCCGTCAGCGGCCCCCCGCGCCCTCGCCTCTCGGCCGGATCCTGGCAGGGGGAGCGCGGGCGCCAGCAACCAGGGGCCCCCGGGAGGCTACGTGCGGTCGCTGCTCCGCGGCGCCTACGCCTTCTGCTCCAGTTGCTTTCCCAGCCTAGCGGAAAAGTCGGGGCCTGGTGCCGGGCCCTGGGAAGCAGGGCAGCTGGGCGCTGCGGCCCGAAGCCAGCTGGTGGCCTGCCCACCCGCTCTGGACACCAGAGCCGCAGCCCGCAGAGAGGCGGGCGGAAGCCCAGAGCGGAGTTGCAGGGCGATGGGGACCCGAGGCAGCTGTGTGCAACCGCGTCAGCCCGCAGCCTCTCGTGGGGCTTTCCGTGTGACCGTGGGGCCGAGCGAGGGGGTTCCCGCTGTTTACAATTCTGCAACTTCAGTGGGCCCCCCCCTTACCCACCGTTTCGTTACCTGAGGTCAACCGAGGCTGAGAAAGATTAAATGGAAATTTCCAGAAATAAATAACTCCTGTTTATTACAGCACATTGCTATAATCAGTCTATTTTATCATCAGCTACTGTTGCTCATCTCTTAGTGCACCTGATTTATCAACTTCCCCGAGATTTGTAGGTACAGGAAGAAACAGTATGTATAGGGTTGACTGGGATCCACGGCTTCGGGAATCCACAGGGGCACGGCCAGAGCAGGACGCATTGAGTGCTAGGCAGTGGGAGTTTCTGGGTGCATGGTCAGCTGCAGAAGCCCTGTAAGCTGGGTTTTGGGGTGTGTGTGGGTTGTGTGCGGGTAGGTGTGTGGAGAAACTGAGCATCTCTTGCAGCCAGTGAGCCCTGGACTGTCCTGAGTGAACAGGGAAGCAGGGCCAGATAGAGAGGGCAGCCACGCTACCCAGCCCCTGCCTCCCCTGGGTCCCTGCAGACAAGAGTAATTAGGTTGTTCCTTAATCACAGCTGGTGCACAGACGGGAGACGGAGACTTGGGTTGCGGGACTGGCTCGCGGGCATGCCTCCCTCTGGGACCCCCCCGCCCCCCAGTTTGGCCCTGGGTAATCTCTTGTTTTCCTGTCTCCCTCAGGACACTGGGTTCCCTAGGAGCCGCCCCAGGCTTAATGATTGTCCAGGAGGTGGCTATAAAGGGAGCCTGGGAGGCTGGGTGGAGGAGGGAGCAGAAGAAACCTAACTCAGCAGATCTGTGCACCGCGAGAGCCACAGGCAGGAGCTGTGGTCGGAGGCTCGCGTCCTGGCTGCCAGGGCCTGCTCTTTCCTACCATGGCGGCCCAGGGCTATGGCTATTACCGCACCGTGATCTTCTCCGCCATGTTCGGAGGCTACAGCCTGTACTACTTCAACCGCAAGACCTTCTCCTTTGTCATGCCGTCGCTGGTGCAGGAGATCCCCCTGGACAAGGATGACCTGGGTGAGCCCCGAGGGGCAGGGTGGCGGGCTCAGGGACACAGAAGCCGCTGGCACTTTGGGTGTTTGTGGCAGCGCGGTGTGTGTGCAGGCGTGTAGCACGTGCGGAGTATCTGCACGGCAGAGGCGGGGCCGGTCGGCACGTGGCGGAGGCGCGGCTCAGAGGTGAAGGGCTAAGGAGAGCTGCCTCCCTGGTGCGTGACATGTGCCCCTGGAGGGCAGGGCGGTTCCCAGGAGTGAGGGTGCACGCTGAGGCTGCAGGGTGGGTGCTGGCGGCCGCCATCGTGAACTCTGGGAACTGGGTGGTCGGCAGTGACTTCATGTGGCCTGGCCTGCGGTATACCCTTCTGGAGCAACGAGTTCCTGGCTGAGCCCTGGCCTCATGTTTGGAAGGGGCCACAGAGCTGCTCGAGGCCTTGGGTTGGCATCGGTGAGGTGGGAAATCAGGCGGATGCAGATCCCAGGGCGAGGAGCTTCCACGTCTGCTGCCTTCTTGGGTCCTGGCAGCCGAGCCAGAACTCTCCAAGATGTCGAGGACTCCTGAGTCAGTCTGGGGCTAGTGCTGAGGGTGAGGCGGGAGAGGTGGCCAAGGTGGCTGAGGTAGTCGAGGTGGCCGGGACGGCAGGGCCCCAGGGCAGGCTCCTCCTGCTCCCCCCGGGGAAAGGTCCTGTCTCACCCTCCCAGCACCTGTACACACCTGACCCCATGCCTTCCTCCACCCCTCCCGTGCCTCTGCCCTGGCCCCTAACCCCTCAGGTGTCCTGCTGCCCGCTCCCCTCCCCTGCAGGGCTCATCACCAGCAGCCAGTCGGCAGCCTATGCCATCAGCAAGTTTGTGAGCGGCGTGCTGTCCGACCAGATGAGTGCCCGCTGGCTCTTCTCCTCCGGGCTGCTCCTGGTCGGCCTGGTCAACATAGTGTTTTCCTGGAGCTCCGCGGTCCCTGTCTTCGCCGCTCTCTGGTTCCTTAATGGCCTGGCCCAGGGGCTGGGCTGGCCCCCCTGCGGGAAGGTCTTGCGGAAGGTGAGCGCCTGGGTGTGCATGGAGGGTACCTGAGGCACCCCCCTTACACGCCACCTCCCGCCCCTCTCCGCCCTGCGGCAGGTGCCTCGGCGGGGCTCTCAGCCAGCTCAAGTTCCTATTTTAGGAGCCTGAGAGTGGTGGGATCAGGTGGCAGATGAGGGAATTGGCCCTGCCCTCATCCCTGTAATGTGAGCTTCTGGGTCTGCCCCTGCCCCTACCTACCCTCAACACGGGCTGTAGGCTGGGCACCTACTCCGTCCCCCTCTGCTCCACAGTGGTTTGAGCCATCTCAGTTTGGCACTTGGTGGGCCATCCTGTCAACCAGCATGAACCTGGCTGGAGGGCTGGGCCCCATCCTGGCCACTGTCCTGGCCCAGAGCTACAGCTGGCGCAGCACGCTGGCGCTGTCTGGGGCCCTGTGTGTGGCTGTCTCCTTCCTCTGTCTCGTGCTCATCCACAATGAACCTGCCGATGTTGGACTCCGCAACCTGGACCCCACCCCCTCCAAGGGCAAGAAGGGTGAGCTGCCACCCAGGCCAACCCCTGGGCACTGCTACTCGTCATTCACGTGGTGGAATTCCGTGGGGGCCTCGCGTGGGTCTGGCGGTGCACTGGCCCACGGGCAGGGGTGGCGATGGAGGTCAGGTGGGAAGGAAATGAAACTCCATCCCCAGGGGCAGAACTGGCAGTGCTGTGACTCCTGCCCGGACAGCATCCTACGCTCAAGTGGCCTGGCCTGGGTCCCTTCTTCCTTCTACCCTGGTCCTCGGTTTCTCTTTCATTCATTGAGGCCAGCGGGGAGCAGAGGGCAGGGGCGTGAGGGGATACCCTTCAGGCAGGTCCTGACTGTGCTCATGGACTCTGCCCCCCTGGCAGGTTAATGAATGGTGGGGTGCAGGTAGGGGCAGGGCAGCAGGAGCCTGAGCCCAGCCCCTTCCCGCCTCCAGGCTCCTCGAAGGAGGAGAGCACCCTGCAGGAGCTGCTGCTCTCCCCCTACCTGTGGGTGCTCTCCACTGGCTACCTGGTGGTGTTTGGAGTAAAAACCTGCTGTACCGACTGGGGCCAGTTCTTCCTTATCCAGGAGAAAGGGCAGTCGGCCCTCGTGGGTAAGAGGGGTGTCGGCACAGGGGTGGTCATACGCAGCAGGAGGCGATGTGCAGGTCCTCTCCCCCTGACCCCCTTTCTTTGCCTGAGGCCGGGCGCTATGCGGGCAGCAGTGGCTGGCTAGCCACTCTCAGGGACCCCTACCTCTCTGGGTTTAAGCCACTGTAGGACAACCCAGTGTGTAACCCCTGCCTTTCCTTCTTCCCGCAACTCCCCACTGCAGGTAGCTCCTACATGAGTGCCCTGGAGGTTGGGGGCCTTGTAGGCAGCATCGCAGCTGGCTACCTGTCAGACCGGGCCATGGCCAAGGTGAGTGGACAGAGGGGACAGGAAGGAGAAGGCTGGGACAGGCACTGGGAAGATGGGAGCCCTGGGCGCAGAGAGGTTGGCAGCTGCTGGTGTGGGCCGGGTAATAAGGAGGCAGTGGGTCCAGGCTCCTCTTATCTTTCCTGGGGATGTGGAGAAAGGGCTTCAGCTGATGTCAGCCCAGCCGGAGGCCTCTCCACAGTCCCAGGAGAACTGGGCTTGGGGGCAGCCTTGGGGCAGCTCCCCAGCACGTGTCCCAAGCGTGCCCCAAGGCTGTGGAAGGGATGTTGTGGAATTTGGCCTCAAAACATAATGGGCAGGTCCCAGGGCCTCCAGAGCTGCCCAGGATTGCCAAAGACCTGTCACCAGGAGCCTGCTGTGTCAGAGTCCAGGGGTGAGGGTTCTCTGCCCTGCTCCGCGGGCCTGACGCTGCTGCCACTGTACCTGTAGGCGGGGCTGTCCGTGTACGGGAGCCCTCGCCATGGCCTGTTGCTGCTCATGATGGCCGGCATGACAGCGTCCATGTACCTCTTCCGGGTGACGGTGACCAGTGACTCCCCCAAGGTAAATAAGGAGGGCCAGGCCCATGGCAGGCACAGGCGAGAAAGCAGGGTCACTGACTGTCTCCCTGTCCCTGGCTCCAGCCTGGGCAGCCCTCTCTGCCTGACTTCCCTCCGAGTTCTGTTTGTAGCGCAGTCTCCCTCCTCTGCCCTCTGAGTCCTCTCCTCCACTCTGGCCTGGTTTTCTCCTCTCCCTCTGCTCCTCTAGGAGGTAGCTTTCTGGACTGCGGCTCTCCATCCTCTTGCTGAGCTCACAGGCTTTACGGAGCACGAGGTGCCTTAAAGATGTCTCTGGGTTCCTCCTGGTCTGTCTCACCCTGTCTGCCCACTCTGCTTTGCCCCTTGCCAGTCCAGCTTGTGTGCATTCTGAGAATAGGTAGCGTCGCCTTGTGCACCTGCTTCCCTGGTCCGCCTCTGCCCTTGGGTTGGCTCAGTGTGGCATCTGCTGCTCTGGTTCTGTGCGGTCAGTTGTACTGGGGAGGGGCGGAGGAGGGTCACTTACTATCCCTTTGTTACTGTTCCGGACAGGGGTGGGGTTTCTGACTGGCCTCATGTTGCCCTTGCAGCTCTGGATCCTGGTGTTGGGAGCTGTGTTTGGTTTCTCCTCATATGGCCCCATCGCCTTGTTTGGAGTCATAGCCAATGAGAGTGCTCCTCCCAACTTATGCGGCACCTCTCATGCCATTGTGGGACTCATGGCCAATGGTAAGTGTGCCACCTCCTGGACTCTGCCTCTCCCCGGCTTGTGCCTTGTGAGCCCCACTGGCTGTAGCATCACCAATGGCTCAGGCTCTCCTCTTCTCCCTGACAGTGGGCGGCTTTCTGGCTGGGCTGCCCTTCAGCACCATTGCCAAGCACTACAGCTGGGGCACAGCCTTCTGGGTGGCTGAGCTGGTTTGTGCAGCCAGCACCGCTGCCTTCTTCCTGCTTCGAAACATCCGCACCAAGATGGGCAGAGTGCCCAAGAAGGCTGAGTGAAGAGAGCAGGCCCTGGGGCACCCGCACCTGCAGCCTTTCCCCTGCACGCAGCGGGGAAGGGAGGGGGCTGCTCTGGCCGGGACTGAACTGTGGACTTCTGTTTCTGCGCCTTCCCCCTCGTCCAGGTGGTGCTGGAAGTTAACAGTGGCTAAGGAGGTACCAGCTCCCCTCGCCATGCTCTATTTAAAAGATAACCTTTGTTCAGGACTCCATTAGCTCCTATTTCCTGCCTTCAGACAAACAGAAACCCCTCGCCCTCCCCAGTCAGGGAGTCTCCTAGAGCAGCCTTCCTCCGCTGGGCCCTGTCTCATCCCCATTCACCTGACCCACCTGAGTGGTTCTGTCCCTGCAGCCACAGCGCACTAAAGGCCAGTGACTTCTGCTCTGCCCCAAGACCCTCAGCAGTGGGCAACTGCTCTTGCCAATACCTCAGTCTCCAGGGGAAGAGAGGAGGCCAAAACCCGGGGTACAGCAGGAGGTATGGGTAGGAGGGTAAACGACTTGTTATAGATTAAAACTGGATTTTATACTAAACACTGTCAGTGAGTCATTCTTTTAGGAGTAACAGAGTGGGCTTTTGGCCCATTGGGATGGCTGCAGCCCTTATCAGTGCTTTGGGCCCGAGTCCTGCCTCCACTCTCAAGTCCAGCTTCCTGCTGGTGGCACACCCCGGGAGGCATCAGTAATGGCACAAGTAGCTGGCTTGTAGCCACACGTGGAGACCTGGATTGTGCTCCTGGCTGCAGTCCCTGCTGGTGGCTGTTACATGCATTTGGGAAGTGAACGAGCAGATGGGAGACCTGTTCCTCAAGTTTTATTTTATTTTTTTTTAAAGGGGGTGGGGGTAGGAATAAGCCAAGACAGACATTTGCTTGGAAAAATACTGTCAATACCTGTTCTTTCCACCCCTAAAGGGAGAAATTCCATTTTCCCGAAAGAGGAAGTTCAAGTGTAGATGGGCTCATGCCTCATCTACCTTGAGCTCAACACTGTATAGCTGAATGATCATTTTAGAGACCCAGCTGTTACACTACAGGCAAGTTAAATCACTTATGAAAAGAACAGCATAATAGCAGTTCACTGACAGTGAAAGCCTGGGTCCAAATTTAGGCTGTCAGAACTAGATTGGGGACACTGAGGCAGAGATTGTCCCTTGCTAAATCTTACTTGTAACCAAATGTACCCCTGGGACTAGGGTGAAGACTGTTAAAGTGTTGCTGTCAGTGCTGGGTGAACATCCCATCATGGCCATCGCCACCACCACCCTCCAAACACTCCGGGATCAGCAGCAATTCGGGGGCCAGAGCCAAGTGTCATGATGCAGTCCTAATGTTCATTCATGTGATGGACGGGTTTGTTTCTACCAGGACAGAGTTCTCTGCCCAGAACTCCCCTACCATTGCTGCCTCCCATCCCATGCCTTTGCCCCCAGATCATCAGGAGAGCAAACAAAGAGATCAAAGAAATGTTTATTGCAGGGTTAGTGGGCCACCTCCTCCATAAATAACCTGTACAGAGTGGGAGGTAGGGCCATGATATCTACAGAAGGGACGAGAGCACGGTTCAGGCTCGGGGATCAGTAATGTCTTCAGGCTCAGCAGTCTCCCATGTTCAAGTACACTGACGAAGTTGTTGGGTTTCCACTAGCATGGAAACAGCAGGACCCCTGCTGCAGGATCACAGAAGGGGGGGGGGGGGTCCAATGCAGGTTCTGCTCAAGATCCAGGTCCAAAAGTCCCAGCCTTCTCTGCCACTTCCAGGGCTAGCTTCAGGTTCTGATCAAATAGCTCACACCTAAGCCAAGCCCAGGAAACACAAATAAGAAAACAGCGAGGCCTGAGACTCCCCCGACCTTGGGTGCAGAGGCAGTCAGTGGGAACGCCACTGGAAGGAGGACATGAACTCCGAGCAAGTCTTTGGATTCTCCAAATAAAGGGCTACTTGCTGTCGTCCCTGGGGACAGCGCATGGCTCTGACCAGTGTCTGGGGGGTGGGGCACCTACCGGATGGGCATTTCCAGGGAGTAGAATGGATTCTTGAGGGCAAAGTCTGAGTAAATCTCGTAAATTTTTCGGAGAAGGGAATCTATTCCAGCTTGCCTAGGGTCTGCCAGCACCACAAACTTGATCCCTGGAGGGAGGCCAGGAATGGTTACCAAAGCACAGAGATGTACAGCCCTTTCACTTTTGCAGTGTACTTATCCTAAACCCACTTTTATGCAATCCTTATTGCTACATAAAGCGAGAAAGGCAAAACTGAATCTAGAGACCAGAGTCTCATAAAGTGAAGTAAGGGACTCTACCTTTCACCCAATCCAGACTAGACTGAGTTCTAGCTCTGCCATGCACCTCCACTCCCAGAATCCCTCGGGAGCACTGCCGGGAAGGGTACACACTCAGAGGCGACTCTCAGTGACCGGTGTTAAGGGAGTGAAGCAATGACACTCCAGATCCAAAGGCCGTTTCCATTTGGCTTTCATATTTGTTTTAGAAACAACACACCTAAAATGTGTGCAATATGAGATAACGGTGAGTTTAATCTGAACATAGGATGACCGAGGCCGAACACACTGGCTGACGTGGATAAAATCTGCTTCAAATTAAATATTGCCTTTGGAGTCACTAAACAAAGACTGTCCCAGGAAAAGCTGATACCACCCCCAAAGCAAGAGTCACCCGGATTTCCCCCAGCCTGTACCACCTACTCCTCTGGCCTACCTGGAGACACGTACCTGTCAGCGTCTGGAAGCAGTGCAGTTTGAATGTGTCTGTCTCCAGCATCTCAATGCCTGAGCTCCCCTGCTCAGGAGACAGCTGGGAGCCAATGGCAAAAAGCCTACAAGCAGAAGAGACAAAGAGGGGAATGCACCCCAAAGTTGTGGGGCAGGAGTGTTTCTCAAAGGGTTCTAAAGTGGCTGCCTGCTGAGGCCTTCACAGGGCAGCCTGCGACAGGAGAGGCGGCGACAGGCAGGAGAGGTGGCATCAACTGCCTAGCAGCACTGTCGACATTTTTTAATTCATCTGGACTTTGCAGGTATTTTACATTACATTATTTTTAAAATGTATTTATTTTAAAGGCGGGGTGACAGGGAAGACCGAGAACTTCCATTGGCTGGATTACTCCCTAAACAACAACAGAGACTGGGGATGGACCAGGATGAAGCCAGGAGCCTGGGACGTCCCCCACGTGCGTGGCAGGGGCCCCAATACCTGGACTGCCCGCTGGGCCAGGACACGGGTCCCATACGTGACATACTTTCCCATGAAGCACTCATGGGAAAATCTGGATGCATAAACAGCCTGAGTACGTGCCACGCTTACTCTGCCGTCTAACTAGGTACTTGCCAGCACATCTACCACAGCTGAGAGCAAGAAACGATTTTAAAACACTTAGTTCAACTGGCTTACTTCAAAGATGAAGGACCTAAGGCTCAGAGAAAAGAAACTGACTTAAGTAAGATCATGCCACTACCGGTATTACCCAGGCGTATTGGGTTAGTCGCTTTCCCTTTTGTAAGAACCCATAGTTCGTGCTGCCTGCGACGCCGGCATCCCGGATGGGTGCCGGTCCTAGCCCCAGCTTCCTGCTAATGAGTCTGCGAAAGCAGCGGAGTCTGGCCCACTCTCTCTCCCTCTGTAACTCTGCCTTTCAAATGAACGAATAAATCTCAACAGCCGATAGCCCAAGAGGAGGCAGAGAGGCACTGCCGCTCGGGAGACTGCTCGCACACCCGCACGAATCCAGACAGCGACGAGCCAAGCGCACGTCCACAGGCGCGAGAAAGGCTGGAGGCACTTACGAGTGGAACATGGAGGCCAGCATGAGCTTCTCATTGGAGGTGAGGCGAGGCCGGCCGAACCGAATGGACACTGGGTAGTTTGCAGGATTACCCAGATATTCCAGCACCTCCTTGCCATCGGCCGTGTACTTGCCGTTCACGTCCGCGCCATTAATGGCCAACACCGCATGGCCCACTGCAGGGTGAGGCTAAGGGTCAGCGACGCTGCAGCCCCGTGGCTCCGCCGAGGGAGACAGGGCACCCAGCCGCACCGCCTCGCCCCCAGCCACGCCGGGCCACCCCCCGGACCCAGCCTCGCCCACCCCGGATGCCGTCCCGCTGGCCGAAGGCCACCAGCACGCGCTCGTCGTGTAGTTTGAGCAGTAGATCCAGCGGGTAACTGAAGGTCTTCTCGGCCTCGGCCCGCGGCGCGTAGCTGTCCAGCTGGTAAATCAGACCGCCAGCTTTGTTCACCACATACACGCTAAATATCGCCATGGCTGCCGCCGCCCGGACTCTCGGCTCCGCCTTAGGCGGCGGCCCCGCCCCGGAATCCCTGTCACGTGACCCGGCCCTCCGACCCCGGCGTGCTCCTCCGGCAGCGCCTGCGCACTCGGTGCGAGCGATGGCGGGACCTGACAGTGTGCTGTTTCTCAGTGCCATCACGCTGAAAGTGCTTCCCAACTAGCTGCCGTGCGTGTCAATCTAGGCCAGCGTTCGGGGCACTCGCCTACGCCAGTCCGTTGCTCGCGTCGCGCTACGGGTCGGTGGGCAGGACCTCCGCGCGAGGTTCCGCCCCCTGCCCCGGAAGTACTCCAGGCGGGCGGAGGTTTCTGGGCTCGTTGGGCAGCGGCGCTTCCTTTTTGTCCGACATCTTGCAAGGTTGAGGTGGTCGCTGCTACTCTCCGCGCCTCGCTATGGTAAGCGTCAGGGCCGTGAGGCCAGGCGGCTTCTGAGGGCCGGGCGATGCGCGGGCGCGGCGGGGACGGCGTCGGGCGGGAGGGTCCCTGGGGCGGCCGCGCTGGGAGTCGGCGCGGGCGCGGGGAGCGCCTCACCCATGTGCTTCGGTAGTGGGTTGCCCACGGCGGCGTTGGGGGTTTGCAGTGGTGGGGGAGCGTGGGGCTGCTCTCATATCTGCCTGCCCTCCCCTCCCGCAGCCGCCCAAGGACGACAAGAAGAAAAAAGATGCCGGAAAGTCGGCCAAGAAAGACAAGGACCCCGTGAACAAGTCTGGAGGCAAGGCCAAAAAGAAGGTAGGAGTGAGCCGCCTCCAGGAGCGGGAGCCCGGGGTGCCCTCTCGGAGTTCCGGAACGGGGGTGTGGATACAGCGGCGTGGCCGTCGGGTGTGGGTTCTGGGATGTAACACTAGGGTTCAGGACATCGTCGCCCAGTACTCTGTTCTCTTCCCAGTGTTAGGGTGGGGGGCTGCCGCTCAGGCTTGGAAATGAAGGGGCCGGAAGCTGTTCATGGACATGTCCCTAACTTCGAGGGTCTAGAATTGATCTCTGACGAGAGTGGGCGGCTTCTCTGACGTGGGTTGCGTGGGAAGGAGAGTAGACTGCTGCCAGGAGGCCTGACTTGGTTTCCTTTTTGTGTTTCTGAGCAGAAGTGGTCTAAAGGCAAAGTTCGGGACAAGCTCAATAACCTGGTCTTGTTTGACAAAGCTACGTACGACAAGCTCTGTAAGGAAGTGCCCAACTACAAGCTCATAACTCCGGCCGTGGTCTCTGAGAGACTGAAGATCCGCGGGTCCCTGGCCAGGGCAGCCCTGCAGGAGCTCCTGAGTAAAGGTGGGGGATGTGGGCTGCTTTTGCGGGTTACATTGGGCTGGGCTGGCCTGGCCCTCTTAGTGCTTTCACTGGAAAGGTCAGGATTTTTTTTTTTTTTTAGGATTTTATTTATTTGAGAGGTAGAGTTACAGACAGCGAGAGAAAGAGACAGGTCTTCCGTCCATTGGTTCACACCCAAATGGCCCAACAGCCGGAGCTGCACCAGTCCGAAGCCAGGAGTTTTCTTCCTGGTCTCCCACATGGGTGCAGGGGACCAAGGATATTGGTCATCTTCTGCAGCTGTCCCAGGGTCAGAAGTGGAGCTGTCAGGACTAGAACCGGCGCCCGCAGGCAGAGGATTAACCTGTGCCATGGTGCCAGCCCCAGGACTTATTTCTGAAATGGATACTACCTTAGAGGGGCCTTGGCCAGCAGTTCGTCGTGGGTCACAGCAGTATAGTGAAGCTCAAGGTTCCCGCAGTATACCGAAACAATTTTAACATTCAGCTGGTGAATCGAATTACCATCATTTCATGTTAGCGATTCATGTAAATTAAGCTGACCTACTTCTGTTAACAAGCTGTCAAAAACTAAGCAGTTATGTTGGGAAGGCATAGAAAACGTGCTGGTTCTCAGTGGCTCCTTTCTCCCTAGGACTTATCAAACTGGTTTCAAAGCACAGAGCTCAAGTGATTTACACCAGAAACACCAAGGGGGGAGATGCCCCAGCTGCCGGTGAAGATGCGTGAGCAGGTAAGGGCCCGGGAGTCTGGCGGGGGAAGTGCACCCATCGACTTCACAAATGACCTCATTATTTTAATTTTCCTTTACAGGTCCACTGCATTGTACATTTTGAAAAAATAAAACTTTATTAAATTAAATGGTTGGATGTTGTGTTTCTTGAGAAAGGCAGTTAGGAAAGGATTTGGTAAAAGGAATTAGTTGGGGCATAGGTTTGTTGGCTTTGCTCTGAGCTGCAGGGTAGCTGGTAGAGTATCCAGGAGCAATTAGGTTTTTTCTTTATGTGACTGTTGTTTCTTCTTTGCGGCAGCCTCACTTTTGAACTGATGCCTGAAAGGAAATGGAGAGTTACTAGAATGAAGGGACGAGGGCTCCAGAGAGTAGTGGGTTGCAGTTTGGCACTGGACGCATACCTGGACTGCCAGCGGCGGCCATTATTCCAGACTCGGCCAAAAGATGGCAGCCAGCCTGCACTGGTGCTAGAGCTATGGTCAAAGTTGGCCCCGACTCTGTCCGGGGGCAGTTTTTTCAGTTTCTGTTTCTCCCCTGCAATGATAGGGAAAGTTTTAAGTGAGTCTCAAAGAACTACCTGCCCATCTACAGTTAGTCTACTTACTTTCTTTAAGAAATTCTTCATAGGAAGGGCCTATTTGTTGGTTCCCAGAGCTGCAGTCCTCATCTTGGACCATCCAGGGAGGTGTGGCCCCTGGAAGAGAACGACCCATTAAGCAGGTGTTAAGCCTTAATTCACAAATTGCACCATGAGATTGATACCCCCTAGTATCTCAGCCAATTAAGATCCTAGCTGTCCCAGACAACCATTTAGACTGGCTTGCATAGCTGCTTGTGGAGGTGTGTCCTGTCGTTTTGAGAGTCACCAGTGCTGTGGTTAACACTATGCTCAGATGACCTGAGTCCTGTATCAGCTGCACCCCTGATTTCCTGCTAATGTGCATACTGGGAAACAGCAATGCTGTACACATAGGAGACATGGACAGAGCTGGGCCCCTGGCTTTCGTGGGCATTTAGGGAGCAAACCAGGAGGTGGAAGGCCCCCTCTGCCAAAAAATGATCTTTGCTGTTGACGATACTCCATTGTTTAGTCTCCACCTCTTGGGTATTTGGATTGTTTTCAGTCCGCCTACTATAAATAAAGCTACTGCGAAGATCTGTGTAGACCGGCTTGCTTATTCTTGGGTAACACATGGAATGGCTTCTATCACAGCACTGGTTTTCTCGCCTTTTTTTTTTTTGACAGTGGACAGTGAGAGAGACAGAGAAAGGTCTTCCTTTGCCATTGGTTCACCCTCCAATGGCCACTGCGGCCGCTGCGCTGCAGCCGGCGCACTGCACTGATCCGAAGGCAGGAGCCAGGTGCTTCTCCTGGTCTCCTGGGACTAGAACCCGGTGTGACGACACTGCAAGGCAGAGGATTAGCCTATTGAGCTGTGGCGCCGGCCAACAGCACTGGTTTTCAAAGTGGTTCTACCGTTCTAACAGTAGTTATCTTTATTTTTAAAAAATGCATCTTAGAAACATTGCTCTGGACCTTACCTGAGTGGACGTTACCAACTCCTGGCATATCCTGTAGTTGGAAATGAGAAAATTCTAGTCAGAGGAGATGAGAGGATACTTCGAAAGAAAAACTCAAGGTAGCTGCAGCTGCTGCCATGATGCTAACTTTGCGTCTCTGCTGACATTAAAGAGCACAATAAATCGTTAGACGTCCTGTCCTCAAGAGGCTGCGATTGTCCAAAGCTCAAATGCTTATTACCAATAGGTGAATAAGCCCCGCCCTCACAAAGTGCATGCACAGTTGAAGAGAATTAACCATAAGCTACATTTGCAGATTTATGTGGTTCGTCTTTACAATAGAAAGTACAGCAAATCTAGAAACGGAGCAGCAGCAGGGTACACAGCTGGAACACGGTGAGATTGCACGTGGTAAAAGTTTTTTTTGGGGTCAGTGTTGTAGTGTAAGAGGTTAAGCTAGCATCCCTTATGGATTCCAGTTCCAGCTGCTCCACTTCCTGTCCAACTCCCTGATAATGTGCCTGGAAAAGCATCAGAAGATGGCTCAGCTCCTTGGTCCCTGCTGCCTACATGGGAGACCCAGAAGAAGCTCCTAGCTCCCAGCTTTGGACTGGCCCAGCTCCAACCGTTGCAGCCAATTGGGGAGCGAACCAGCGGATGGAAGATCTCATCTGTCCTCCCCCTTCTCTGTAACTGCTTTTCAAATAAATAAGGATTTTTTAAAAATGATTTTCTGTATGTTTGGGATGGAGAGTTCTCCCAACAGATATGGGAGGCGAAAGGAGGAAGGGTAAGGCTCTGTGTCCACAGTGATGGGTACATAGGAGTCCTGAGGGTAGTTCGAGTGCCTCTGGGTTCTTAACAGTAAATATCCCCCTATCAAGCTGGTTGTAAGTTCTACGGTGGGCAAGAAAAGCGGTCTGAGACAAGGGAACAGTGCAGAGGAAGGACTGCAGCGTCCTGGGACCTGAGGGCCCTGGCCTGTTTGCTTTTCCACTGTACCTGATGGCCAATGAACGTCAGAGGCTGCTCTGGCTCCATCCAGGCAAGCTCTGGAGCTGGTGGCAGGTCCACATGTGAGGGCTGCTGGGAGCTGTAAGAACAAGAGCCAGGCTGGCAGATGAGGTCCCTGGGCCTTGGGGTGGCAAAGGTGATCTCTCTTCCATCTTGTAGCCTAAAGGTGAGAGTTTGCTCCAAGGTGTCAAACTCAACGTGAGATTCCCTCCCAGTCTTACCTGTTTGTTCCTTTCCAGCTCTCAGGTACTGAAGAGCCCTCTTCTGGGTCTGGTACTGTCTGAGGCTGAGTTTGATTCAGGAAGAATACATGTGTCTAGAATGCTTAAGAGCCCGCCTAGGCCACGCCCCCACCCTCCAGGCACCTAAGGAAACTGACAGATGAAGGCCACTGCCTGCTGGCTCTGCCCACTCACTGACTAGGCCTGCACAGGGAAAGGAATTCCAGCCAAGCAGATGAGGGATGGAGTAGGGAGAGCTGCCTCATGAGATGCTGGCCCTAGGAGAGCTGGGGATCAGTGGATTTTGGATACTGCTCTGGATCCTCCGAGTGAGACCAACCTCTAAGACAGATCGAACCACCTCCTGCCGGCTCCGCTCCACCTCCCGGATGTGAGCTGCCATCTGTGAGAGAGGCGGTTTAGACAGGCTCACAAGGTGGGTCCTTCAGAGGCCCCCCTTTAACGTACCTCTTTGATCACTTCATCTTCTTTTTCTTCATAGGAATCTAAACCTTTCACCATGGACTTCTTGAATCTAAAAAGAAAAGCAGCCACTCAGCCCAGAACCTTAGCCCCAGCCAGTTGTGGAAAGCTCCTCATGGGGGCCTCGCCTGCAGCATCCTCTTGGGACACTGGTTCAAGTCCCAGCTGTTCCACTTCTGATCCAGCTCCCTGCTAATGGACTGGGAAGAGCACCAGAGGATGGCCCAAGTGGTTGGGCCCCTGCACCCATGTGGGAGACCCAAAAGAAGCTCCTGGCTTCAGATTGGCCCAGCTCCAGGTATTGCAGCTATTTGGGGGAGTGAACCAGAGGATCAAAGATCTCACTCTAACTCTGCCCTTCAAATAAATAAACATACAAAAAAAAGCTCTTCATATATATATATATTTTATTTTATTTTTTATTTTTTTTTGACAGGCAGAGTGGACAGAGAGACAGGGAGAAAGGTCTTCCTTTACCGTTGGTTCACTCCCCAATAGCTACTGCAGCCGGCCCACCGCGCTGATCTGATCAGGTGTTTCTCCTGGTCTCCCATGCAGGTGCAGGGCCCAAGCACTTGGGCCATCCTCCACTGCACTCCTGGGCCACAGCAGAGAGCTGGACTGGAAGAGGGGCAACCGGGACAGAATCTGGCACCCTGACTAGGACTAGAACCCGGTGTGCCAGTGCCTCAGGCGGATGATTAGCCTAGTGAGCCACTTCGCCGGCCAGTATATATATTTGAGATTAAACTCACAGAAACAAGAATAGTATAATGAACACCTATGTTCCTCTTTTTGCTTTTTTTTTTTTTTAAGATTGATTTATTTAAAAGAGTTAAAGGGAGGCAGAGAGAGAGGTGTTCTATCCTCTGGTTCACTCCCCAGATAGCTGCAATGGCAGGAGCTGTACAGATCCAAAGCCAGGAGCTTCTTCCAGGTCTCCCACGTGGGTGCAGGGGCCCATGGACTTGCTTTCCCAGGCCATAGCAGAAGAGCTGGATTGGAACTAGAGCAGCTGGTACTCAAACTGGTGCCTATATGGGATACTGGCACAGCAGGTGGTGGCTTTACCCACTACCCCACAGCATCAGCCCCACTGGCTCCTCTTTTACAGACACCTACACTTCCTTTTTGGAGAACAAAAAAGGGTTTGGACATCAGGAGATGTAATTCTAAATATTTCAGCATGTATCTCCCAAGAACAGGAACATTCTGTACAATTACAACAGCATTACCACCCTTGAGAAAATCACTTATCCTTAAAAAAAAAAAAAAGTTATTTAGGGGCCAGTGTTGTGGTGTAGTGGGTAAAGCTGCCACCTACAAGGCTGGCATCTCACTCGGGTGCTGGTTCAAGTCCTGGCTGCTCCACTTCTGACCCAGCTCCCTGCTAACAGCTTTGGAAAAGCAGTGGAACATGGCCAAAGTGCTTGGGAGACCTGGATGAAGCTCTTGGCTCTGGCTTTGGCCTGACCCAGCCCTGGCTATTGTGGCCATCTGGGGAGTGAACCACTGGATGGAAGATCTAGCTCCTCCCTGCAACTCTGATTTTCAAATAAGTAAATCTTTTCAAAAACTTATTCAATTGAAAGACAGTGATGGGTTTTGGTTTGTGTGTGTGTTTTTCTTAGAAGTTGTGCTTGCTTTATTGTATGTTTTATTTTTCTAAAAAATTTTTTTAAAGTATTTATTTATTTGAAAGACAGAGTTACAGAGAGGCACAGGCAGACAGAGAGGTCTTTCATCCACTGATTCACTCCCCAAATGGCTCCAACGGCCGGAACTGAGATGATCCAAAGCCAGGTGCTTCTTCCGGGTCTCCCACGAAGGTGCAGGGGCTCAAGCATTTGGGCCATCTTATTCTGCTTTCCTAGGCCATGGCACAGAGCTGGGTCAGAAGTGGAGCAGCTGGCATTCGAACCAGTGCCCAAAAGGGATGTCAGCACACAGGCAGCAGCTTTACCCACTATGATTTATTTACTTGAAAGCCAGAGAGATCTTCCATCCATTTGTTCATTCCCTAAATAGTCCCAGTGGCCCAGGTTGGGCCAGACTGAACCAGGAGCCTGGAACCCCAACCAGGTCTCCCATATGAGTGCAGGGGCCTAAGCACTTGAACTGGTGCCTATATGATGCCGGTGTTACAGGCAGCAGCTTATTGAGAGAGTGAGAGAGAGAGAGAGAGAATCTACACACTAGTTCACTCCTAACATGTCTGCAACAGCCAAGGCTGGGCCAGGCTGAAGCCAGGAGCCAGTAACTATCCTTGCCTCCCATGTGGGTGACAGGGACTCAAGTACTTGAGCCATCTTTGCTGCTCCTCAGCAGCATTAGCAGAGAGCCGTGTAGGAAGCAGAGCAGCCGAGACTCAAACTGACAGTACGATGGGGGACGCCAGTGTCCTGAGTGGTGATTTCACCGCTGTGCCATATAGCACCTCTTGCTATATGTGCCACACAGCACCTCCTTTAGTACTTCAAATGGGGGGGCGGCACACCCCATATTGGAGTGCTGTTCCGGTTCTAACCCAGCTTCCTGCTAATGCATCTGAGGAGGAAGCAGATGATGGCTTAAGTACTTGGGCCTTGCCACCCATGTGGGAGATCCATATGGAGGTGTGGGCTCCTGGTCGAACCCCTGGCTCCCAAAAACACCAAAATATTTGCAACTGTTTCATCCTACAATACACAGTAAGAGATTTCAGAGTAACACCACTACAACTATCAACAATAAGCCACCACCACCACCAGCATGCCAGGAAGCCTGGCACATATCCTTATAGCAACAGCACCAGCCACCACACAGGGCTGAATGCCTCCTACCTGCTGAAATTGACAGCAGGAGGCCTGTAACAGGAGCTATGGAGCCACCTTCCACTTGTCTCCCCCTCCCCCATAGGAAGCTGTCTTCACACAGTGTCTCATCAACTCCCAGGATTTGGGGGTGGGCATCTGGCCTAGCAGCCAAGACACCAGTTAGCATGCCCGTGTCCCACATCAGAGTGCCTGAGCTCCAGCTTCCTACCAACGCAGAGCCTGGGAAGCAGCAGTGATGGCCCAAATGACTGGGCTCCTGCCGCCGTGCCGGGAGATCTGGACTGAGCTCCCTGCACCCAGCTTCGGACCCACTGAGTCCTGGCGATTGGGGGCACTTGCTGAGCAACCTAGCGGGATAGGAGCTCTGTCTCTCTGCCTCCCAGCTAACGAAACAGAACGGGCGGTGCAGAGAGGCTGTGTGTGCTCTTTGGAAGCTGCGCAGAGCTCACACTCCCTCCTGCGGGCCAGTTTGCGTCCCGCACATCAGCCGCCCTCCGGAGAGCAGTTATAGCGTCCAAAACTATTCAAAGTGGGCACTGGGTGAGCACCAGGTTCCTGCACACGGTAAACAGCCTCTCTGTACCTAAAGGACGTCAGTATTCTCTGCGCTTACACGTAGCACTCCAGTAGTTGATTATAACACTGTTATTATAGTGTTCTCTGCCAAATCCCATTCCCCGACTAGATTATGCACCTCAATTCTTACCACCCTTTTGTCTACAATACACGGCCTAGAACAGTTAAGTGCTAGGCAGACACTGAATTTTCCAATCATTAGAGGAAGCTCCCACACAAGACAAGCGATCCAGAATTCACTCTGCTACTTCATTTTTCCTAACCAGAGACCTACCGTGCATATTCCTGGGGAGAGATCAGGAATTTCTCTTTCATTTGCATCTCAGCCTTGTTCTCCCACCAGAATTTGTTGGTCGCTTTCTTGTGTTCTGGGCTGAGAATGGAGAGGATTAGTGACCTCAGCTACAGATAATAAAACAGTCGTCAGATATTTCCGCAGGTGGTAAGTAACCAACCGACACCTGGTTTTCCGCCCTGGCAAGGCTGAGAGGAACACTAGCCAGGTCTGTCTAGATCTCCAATCTATCTTCTCCCAATAACATGAGACTAAGGGGACGTGATGGGTGGGGGCCGCCCGAGCGGGCTTTCCCACCTAGAACAGGCAGCCCTAAGCCCCAGGCTGGCAATGCCTGTAGGGTCGCTCTCCACCCTTCCTCGCTCCCCCACGTTTCGCGCCTGCTGTCACCTGGCCAGGTGCTCCAGCAGCCCGCCGTGCAGCACCGTCAGGTTCCCGTGGCTCAGGTGCTTCCGCACCTCGCAGCCGCAGCACAGGCACCAGCAGCAGCGCTCGTGCTCCGGCACGAAACGCTCCACCTGAGCGGCGCGGATGGCCTTGCGGGCGGCCTCCACCTGCAGGAGAGAGGCCAGCTGGGGTCCGACGGCGCCCACCCCGCTACCGCCCCGCATCCGCGACCCCAGCAGCCTTGCGGCCTCACCTGAGGCAGGAGCCGCTCCAAAGCCTCTTTCAGCTGCCTCTGGTGCTTGCGGCTGTAGACGTGTCCGCGACCGCAGAAGAAGGTCTGGCGGCACAGGGCACAGCGCTGCGGCGGCGCCATGGGTCCACGAGGCTGCAGGCCCCCGGGATCTCCGCCACTCGCCGCCGATCCTCCGCCCCGCGGCGACCCCTGACCCCTGACCCCAGGGGGCGGGGCGAACCCAAGGTCTCCCGCGGCGCTCGCGGCTGCAGGCCCTTTTGCGGCTGCGCGGACCGTTCCGCCGGCCGCGTCTCTGCGCTACGCGTCAGAGTCGTCCACCGCCCCGGCGCCGTGAGAACCCAGAAAGTAGTGCGGCTCGCGGGAAAGAGCGCGCGCGTCTCCGGCACTGACGTGGACCGGTGGTAGACTGCGTGACGAATCAGAGCTGATATTACAGGGAGCGCCCTGGGTCCGGTGACCTCACGGAAGCCTCGCAGGAACGCTGTGGGACTATTGTCGGATTTTGCTAGCGGGAAAGCTAAGGCATGGAGGGTCAGGAACTCTGGAGATGTTGGTGTAGGTGGTGGAGGCGGCCCCTGCACCAGCGCCAGCAGCCTGGAGGGGCCACCTGCTGGAGGTGACCATGACCCAGTGCCACCGGGGTGTGGGGCGCTGATCCTGCAGGCTGAAAGGGGAAACTAAAGGATCGTTGCTGGGGGTTCGTCTGTAAAATTTCCATGCTAGTGGAATTTTTATTCTTCCCAAGCTGCTTCTCCCAGAATCAGCAGCCTTCCTACTGGCCGCTTTCCAAGCCTTAGGGCCTCAGGTGAAGTGTCCCCTCGCAGGGCTTAAGTCACCAGGCGGAGATGGCCCTAGGGACTCCACAGGAAAGGCTGGGCCGGCCCGGGGGCAGCTCTCAGCCCTACACAGTCCTGGGCCGGAGGTGTCTAGAGCCGTGCTGTTGTGCTCTGGATAATCATTTGGGTGTCTCCAAAGGCCTGTGCCTTTTTTGTCTAAGATTTTTATTTTATTCGAAATACAGAGTGTCAGGAAGAGACAGAGATCTCCCATCTGCTGGTTCATTCCCACACATGGCCACAGTGAACGGCCTGTACTGGGCCAGGAGCCTGGAACTCCATCCAGGTCTCCCACGTGGGTAGCAGGGGCCATCTTCCACTGCTTTCCAGGAGCATTAGCAGGGAGCTGGAGCTGGATTGGAAGTGGAGCAGCCGGAACACAATGGCACCCTGTTAGGGGATGTAGGGGTAACAAGTGACACTCAACCGCTGTACCACAGTGGCAGTCCCAAGCCCTTGCTTTGAGAGATTGGTCCCCAGAATCTCGTGTTAATGGATTAAGGATGGAACTTAATCCAGTTATGTTGTCTAAGGTGGGCCTTGGAAAGTGACTGGATTGATTAGGAATCCCATAATGGAATTGAGAGGGCTTTATAAGGAAGAACCCACAGAGGGTGGATGAGGGGTGTGCTCCCTGGTTCTCAGCCTCCTGGCTTACCACGCCACGCCTCCCCTGTGTGCATTCCACCGTGCACCACCCTCAGACTCCAGAGCACAGGGCCAACTGGTCTTGAACTATGAACCACAACAGAGGGAACGTAAGCCTTTTCCCTTGTAAGTGAACACCTTTCATGTGTTTTAGTGAAGGGGACGAAAACTTGACAGACACCAAATCTTCACTTTGGTGGGGCTGCCCTGTAGGCTCCAGGCTTTGCCAGATGCGATTCACTTCAGTGACCCTTAGAACACTCAATTCTTTCATTTCCCATCATTCCTCTGGCAGGGTCCATCCAGGACCTTAACCCCCCCCCCCCCCCCCGCCAAAATGCTCCTCTGAATCCTTCTAGTCTCTTGGAAAATTACTCAGCATCTGCCTGCCGCTGGATGCTTGGCTCAAGGCCCATGGTTTTCCAAAGTGTGACACTGTCCTCCCCCTCAGGCCTGCAGAATCAGCCTGTTAGTAATGCAAATTCTTGGGCCTTAGACTTACTAAGTTAGAAGCCCTTCTGTGGGTTCACGAATCCCTCGGGACTTTGTTCTTGTCATTGATATTTGAAAGGCAGAGAGACAGATCTTCCACTCACCGGTCCACCCCCCAGATGACCATAACAGCTAGGCAACACTGGGCTGGAGGCAGTAGCTCAGAACTCAGTCTGAGTCTCCTACATGGGTGGCAGGGACCCAAGTACTTAAATCATCATCTGCTACTCTCATGGTGTACATTAGCAGGAAGCTGGATCAGAACCAGAGCCAGAACCTGAACCCATGTGCTGTGACATGGGGTGTGGGCGTCAAAGTGGTGCCTTAACCTGGTGTGCCACGACGCCCACCCCCTTAGCTGGAGTCTTAATGGCCTCGCCGAATGCTTGCCCCATCTTCCATCTGTGCTGTGTCATTTGTTACCTTCTTTTGCTTTTATCCATGTAATATCTTATTTAAAAGGCAGAGTGACAGAAAGGGAGAATTTTTTTTTTTAAATTTTATTTGACAGAGTTAGAAAGTGAGAAAGAGAAAGGTCTTCCCTCCATTGGTTCACCCCCCAAAAGGCTGCTAGGGCCGGAGCTACGCCTAGCCGAAGCCAGGAGCCAGATGCTTCCGCCTGGTCTCCCACACAGGTGCAGGCACCCAAGCACTTGGGCCATCCTCCACTGCCCTCCCGGGACACAGCAGAGAGCTGAACTGGAAGAGGAGCAGCCAGAACTAGAACCTGGTGCCCATATGGGATGCCGGCACCACAGGCAGAGGATTAACCAAGTGAGCCACAGCGCCAGCCCAAGGAAGAATTTTTTATTTATAGGTTCATACCCCAAATGGCTGCAACAGCCAAATCTGGGACAAGCCAAAACCAGGAGCCTCCTGGAACTTCATTCAGGGCCCTTATAAGGGCAGCAGGGCCCAAGCAGTTAGACCATCTTCTGCTGCTCTCCCAGGTGCATTAGCAGGGAGCTGGATCGGAAGTGGAGCATTTGAGACCTGAAACACGCCCATATGGGATGCTGGCATCACAGGCGGTGGCTTTACCCGATATGCCACAACACCTGCTCCAAGCATGCCTTTTAAAACATTTACTGGGGCCAGTGCTGTGGTGTTACAGCCATTTGGGGAGTGAACCAGCGGATTGAAGACCTCTCTCTCTGCCTCTAATTCTGCTGTTCAAATAAATTTTTTTTTAACAGGCAGAGTGGACAGTGAGAGAGACAGAGAGAAAGGTCTTCCTTTGCCATTGGTTCACCCTCCAATGGCCACTGTGGCCAGTGCGCTGCGGCTGGTGCACCGCGCTGATCCAATGGCAGCAGCCAGGTGCTTATCCTGGTCTCCCATGGGGTGCAGGGCCCAAGGACTTGGGCCATCCTCCACTGCACTCCCGGGCCACAGCAGAGAGCTGGCCTGGAAGAGGGACAACCGGGACAGAATCCGGTGCCCCGACCGGGACTAGAACCCGGTGTGACGGCGCCGCAAGGCGGAGGATTAGCCTATTGAGCTGCAGCGCCGGCTTTGAAAGAAAAAAAAGTCAATATAATGCTCTAGTTGCAATGCCACAAAGGGAGACTGTTTTATAATAAAGTAAAATGGATCAAGTAAAATGTAGCAATGGATAAGCTACACTTAAAAACTGAGATCACTGGAAATTTCCATGTACTTACAGGGAATAGCTTAAACAGATGATATTCAAATACTGAGAATACTTCACACTGACTACCTTGGAAGTAGAGCTGAAGAAACGTGCGTGTTTCTACACACGATCCTTCTGAGCACGCCAGACACGCACATACGCACAGTAACACAGGTGAGGTGTTGTTGACTTAAAACTCCAGAATAGCTTTGCTGTCGGTGAACTGATTTCCCAAAATGGCAAACAGCTCTTAGTAAACTTCCAAACCAAAAAAAGTATCATCTTTCTTCACTTCACATAAAAGCTGTATTCCTGGAAAACTCAGTGTATAGTGAATGATGCCACAAAGCATTTTGTTTAGGTAGAACACCAAGTTAGTTCTTGGCTGAGCTCATTATAAACAGCGGTCTGGGTCAGTTCTTAAAGGTGAAGGCCTGTCTCCTGCACTAGGGACATCTGACACCCCAGGGCCTTGACTGCCAATGCCCACCACACCCCCTGGGGTGCCTGTCGTGCCCAGTGAGCCCTGGCCCAGCACTGCTAACTCCCTGCTTCACGGTGAGACGGAAGGGGCGGGGGCCCGGGGCAGGAGACCGGGTGGTGGGGGTGGGGATGGGGATGGGGAGAGTCGGGGGCAGAGTGGCCATGAGGATTTCCTGTCACAGAAACGTGCAGACCAGCAAACAGCTCTTTCTTTAAAGGCGCATTTTGCTCTGGTAGGACACGGATTGCACTTTCAGGAGTAGCACCACGCTTCAAAGAGCAGGCAGGAGGCAGCCGGGTCTCAGCTGCCACTTCACAGGGCATGAAACAGTATGTAAGTGGACAGGAAGTGAAGGCTACTCCTCAAATAGAACAGCCATCACAAAGAGGGGGAGAATGTTTATCTGGGGGCCGGCTGCTTGAAACATATTAGGGCGCCCGTTCGAGTCCTGGCTACTCTGCTTCTGATCCAGCTAACACAGTTGGGAAGTGGTGACCCACATAGGTGACCTAGGTGGGGTTCCTGGCCCCTACCTTTGGCTTGGACCAGCCCGGCTGCTGCAGGCACTTGGGGAATGAACCAGCAGATGGACAATCTCTTGTCTACTCTTCAAATGAATAAATCTTTAAAGTGTTGAATTTGAGAGGCTGACAGACACATCACACACAGATCTCCTATCCACTTGTTAGCCCCTCACATGTCTGTTAACAGCTAGGCTGGGCCAGGACAGAGAAGGCGGAACTGGAAGTCAACCCAGGGAAACCAAACACCTGAGTCTTCCCCTGCTGCCTCCCGGGGTGCACATCGGCTGGAAGCTGGAGCCAGGAGCAGAGCTGCACTCAAACCCAGGCACTCGGATACGGAACGCGGGTGTTCCAAGTGGCGGCTTGAGCCCAGCGCACCCCCCAGCCACCCTAAAATGCTGTGTGGATCTACACAGCTGTCTAACCTGCTTCCAAGCACTCCTTCACTATTAATATGCTGGACTGCACACTTCCCATTATCTTGTTCAGTTCAAGTCAGCTCTCCAGGTACTTTCCTTATCCCTATTTTACACACTAAGGAAACAGGTTTAGAAATGTTTAAAAAGGGGGCTGGCACAGTGGCATTAACAGGTTAAGCTGTAGCCTGCCATGCCGGCATCCCATATGGGCACCGGTTTGAGTCCCAGCTGCTCCACTTCTGATCCTGCTCCCTGCTAATGGCCTGGGAAAGCAGTGGAAGATGGCCCACATATTGGGGCTCCCTGATGAAGCTCCTGACTTCAGCCTGGCCAGGTGTTGGCTGCTGCAGCCATCTAGGGAGTGAATCAGAGGATGGAAATCTTTCTCTGTCTCTGCCTCTCTTTCAGAAGAAAAAAAAAAATGTTGTAAAAAGAATTCAGCTTGAAAAAAAAAAAAAAAAAAAAACATCCAGCCTGTTACAGGGCAGATTTTCTGCTGAGGGGGAGCGGAGAGTCAGATATAGAAAATAAAAGTGTTGCTAAGCAACAGTAAGGCTCAGGCTACCAATAAGCATCGTGGGGGCTAAAAGGAGATGCAGGCTGTTGTTGGCACTCCCAGACGCCACAACCACACACTCGGCTCCCACCATGACCCAGGCTCAGTACCAGGCAGAAGCTGTGTCAGGGCCGAGCACCAACAAGGACAGGGAAGGTGAGGGACCACTTCAAGCTCCCCACCTGCAGATACCAGGGAGCCATTCCCAAGTTAGGTACCACAGGCACCTCTGGAGAGGACCGATGCATTGCGTGAGGCACAGATGACTGGTGGGCAGGGGGTCCTGTGCAAGGTATGGGATGATCCTGCAACACTGGGGTGTTGTGGGATTCCCTCTGACCCGAGCTGGCCCTGTGCTGGGCCACAGCAGTCCCAAGGACTCACTCTGAGGCATCAGACTCAGCAGCATGTGGAAGGCGCTGGCTCTTGGGATGCAAATTCTCACCGCCCCCCCGCCCCCGCACTCATCCCCCATCCCCACTACAACTGAGCAAAAGTCAATGTGGTGCTCCCTACCCAGAGAGAGGAAATGTCAAGAGCCCAAGGGAGGGAGAAGCGACTCCTCACTTCTTGTAGCTCCCTTCCTTAACTGCCCCGTAATACCCTCAATCTCCAACTGCGGCTTCAACTCTGACCCCAAGCCCACCCCACAGGCCTTGCTTCTGTGCTCTGGACTCCTCTCCATGGCTCATCATGCTGACCACCCCCACAGTGGTGCATGGGACTCCCCATTCAATATTTCCCAAATGGATGCACCCTTCTTCCAATTGTATCCCTCTACCCAAGCCCAGCCTAGATTCCTCCCCAGCCCCCTGCGCCCCAGCCAGCTGACTCTACCGCCCACACATTGCAGCCCGTCCCCTTCTCTGCACCTCCCTTGCAGCCATGCCTTCTCCCCAGCTCACGCCACCAGCTGGCTCCAGCCTCGGCCTTCTCCTGTTCTTCATCCACAGGCAGCCGGATGGCCTAACCTGAACACAAGCATCCACCAGCCCTCCCACTTCTCTCTGCAGCTCATCTTGCTTTCACTCGTCGGTACCCTATTCCTGTTTAATTCAAGAACTACCTCCTCCCTGCCAGAGAGCCAACTCTGTGTTCAAAACTAGCCAAGGAGTCAAGTACTTGTCCTGCCTTTCTTGTAGGAGCCACACATCATGATAACTATGGCAGGCGAGAACTTTCTATACAGGTGTTTCAGCTCAGGGCAGGTGCTATGGTACAGCAGGGTAGGACACCCACGTCCCTAATCAGGGTGCCAGTTCGATGCCAGACTACTCTGGGCTTCTCTTCCAGGCCCCTGCTAATGAGCCTGGGAAGCAGCAGGTGATGCTTCAAATACTTGGATCTCTGCTACCCTTGTGGGATACCCTTGCTCTGAGCTTCAATTGGCCCAGCCCCAGATGTTGTGGCCATTTGGGGGAGGGAACCAGCAGATGGAAGATCTGTCTCTCCACCTTCAAATAAATAACCTTCCAAAAAAATCTCAACTTTCTAGGAAGATGGAAAGTATGACCAGTATTCAAGTAAAAATACGTTCAAACAGTCCTTTCAAGGAAAAGCACCTGGAATTGCTTCACCATAACCCAGGGAGAACGGGTCCCGCCTGTAACAAAACGGCAGTGTCCGGGAGTAAAGCTGGATGACAGGCATGCAGGGGCTCTGCATATTATCCTTTATTGATCAAAATTCCAAACAAAGGTAGCCTCTCCCCTAAACCCACCCCCACCCCCACCCCCCCGCTGCCTGGCCACCTGCCCTTACCCCTGTCACAGCTAACCACAGCGCAGAGCAGCAACTGTCCCAGGGCCCTGAAGCCCTATGAGTTCGTTAAGTAGCAGCTTAACGATGTTAGCTGAACAAGTAGGTGGTGCTCCCAGGGCTGCCTGCCACAAGCCAGCATCTCCCAAGATTATCTTCAACATCCAGAAAACGGACACTCGCTCAGGTCTGGCGAAGGGCAAGGACTCTCCTCCTCCGAGACAAGCGTGGCCTCTGCCTGGGAGCATGCGTGGGCTGCTCCCCACCCCGAGCTGGAACTGCACCTCCGCCCTTCACCCCATCTTCAGAGACCACACACACATATCCACACAAGGCTGCTGGGGGCAACTTTAATAACGCAGGGGCTGACTCGCTTTGTGGCATCAAAGGTCAAAGAGGAAGGGCATCATATCTGTAAGAGAAGGAGAGTTCAGAGGAATCTGCACGGCACCTGCTGTCCTCCAAGTCTGGAAGGCTCACACTGGCCATCTGCTTCTCCTGGCTCAAGGCTCAAATGCCACGCAGGCGCTGAGCTGCTCCGGGAAGAGTCCCGGCTGCACACCACGCCTGAGCGTGCTTCCCATTCCGTGGGGTCCCCTGTGAGCAGGGCTGCTAGCCCCTCATTGGTGCACCCCCCATCAAGGTCCCACCTCAGGCAGGTATCACTAGAGGGTTCAGACCACCTCCGCCCCGCCCTGCTCCTCATGGGAGACGCCCCCAGGCTCCCACACTCCGCCTCCAGTGAGGGTGGCCGGCCCTCCTCAGTCCGCCACGCAGGCACGCCACGGCCTCGCACCTGGCTGGCTCATGCACTGCTGGATACTTCCCAGCTGGGTGGCAGCCAGGGCGCGGGCCTCCTCGGCAAAGCGGCGGCGTCCCTCCTCAGTCAACTTCCAGAGGCAGGAGCGGGGCCGGGCGCTGGCCGCGACCTGCATACTGACCGGCACTTTCTCAAAGCTGTCTCGGAAACACAGGTTGTGGCGGATGGTGTTCTTCCAGCCTTCCGGAGCCGTCCGGAAAAACGGAAAGTGTTGTCTGTGGATAGGAGAGAGGTAAGGGAGGGGGGTCCCGAGTGTGCCGTCCTGCCGAGGCCGCTCTCGGGTGGCCGAGGGCACAGCAACACCCCGACCTGTGCCAGCCCCCTCCTCCTGCAGGCCCAGCCCACCGCCCATTCCACCCTCACTCTCCTCCTGCCTTCCAAGGGCTCAGGACCATGCCCGCAGCACAAACAGGCAGAACCGGGCTCCTGGTCAGGGAGGGGCGCCCCTGAAGAGCAGGCCCTCCTTGTACTGCCGGAAGGGGGCCTGCGAAGCTCCCCTACTCCCTTCTTAGCTGTGCATGCCGGCCCTGGAGGCACGCCGGCCGGGGAGAAGCAGGTGGGATGCTATCGCTGTTCGGGAAACCAGATCTCACACTGGCTAATCTGGACAGGGAGGGGCGTGGAGCAACTGTCACCAGGCCCAGTGGGATTTGGGAAGGGAAGCGTGACCAAGAAGCTTGGCGTGTTTTGAGGATGTGAGAGTGAATGTGTTCCCGTACATGGGAGTGGGGCACACACCCAGCTGGGAAGAGACCCCTGGGTGAGCTCCCGTGCTCTCAGACCAGAGGGGGACTGAGCCAGCAGCCCAGGGCCTGGGGGCGGGTTGGGAGGCTCTAGAGCAGGGCCCCGGCCCCTCCCCGCCCTCCTCACGGGCCCCCTGGCACATACCGAGTGAAACTGTAGATCTGCTGCACGTTGAGGCCACGGGGGGAACTGTTTCTTAATGCCAGGGCAATTAGGTGGAAGTAATTGAGAGGGGGCCGGGGCCAGAGCCTCCCCTCCTGGCTGCTGGCTTGCTGAAGCCTCCGGCTCTGGAGGGGGGCCCTTTTGTGAGGGGACGGGAGAGCCACACAGGAGCTGTCATCCTGGTCCTCGGCCTCCTCCTCTTCCGTGAGCTAGAGGAGCACAGAGGAGGAACTGGTCCTGACTCCTCGGCTGCCGCTCAGGGCTGTGCTGGCCGGAAGGGGCAGTGGCACAGGCCCGCCAGCCGGGCTGCTCCCCAACCCAAAGCTGCCCCTAACTCCAGCATCTGGTCCCTGTGCCCGCCCTGCCTACTCCCCACCCCAGAAATCCCTACCTCCCAGCTGCTGGGGGAAGACGAAAAGTGCTTCGGCGACGGAGACTGCTCGGGGGAGGAAGGCGACAGTGCGCGGGGGTAACAGGCATCTTCCTGATGGCAGGGCAGCCGAGGGCGAGGGACCGCGCCCGCTGCTTCCTTCTTCTTACTAGCCCCTTGGGCTTCCAGCTTTCCCGGTGGGTACACGATGTTGGGGTTCACCCACATCCACAGGTTGGGCTCAAACTCTGGACCTGGGGAGAGCAAAGGGCGTCGGCGTCCCCGGCGTCCAGCCTGGGCCACGGAACTGTGTCGGCAGAGATCTGGCCGCTCACCATCTCTGTCAGCGTGGGGCTTCTTCTCCAGAGGTAACCTTGGTGGTTCGACTATTTGAAGCCTGTACCTGGCAACTGGCGAAAGAAAGCACAGATGGTCAAGACATCCTGGGACTTCGAGAGACGAGCCCTGCCTGGGGGGCTCTCCCGCCCCGTTCTCTCCTTCAGCCACAGACAGCATCCTGAGCCACGTGCTGCGAGCCGCGAGCCTCTGGCTGCCGTTACCATCTAGAAACTCGGAGTCCTCAACCCTTGGCCTCTAGCCCAGGCTTTCCGCCGGCCCCTAAGCAGCACTTGAGACAGGGCTTGGGTAGCCCACAGCGAGCCACACTCGACCCTGCTGGACCTGAACTCCTCCTTCTCCTACTCCTTCCTGCAGCGTCCCTGTCTCAGTAAATGGCACCACCAGCCAACTCGCTGTTCTGTCCCCACGAACATCACGTTACAGAGGAGGCTTGTTTTTTGTCAGGCAGTAATCATGTCCTTATTGAGGGTTTGGCAGTCCGGAAGGATGTCCCTGGGCTGGTGCTGTGCTGTAGTGGGTAAAGCTGCCACCTGCAGGGCTGGCATCCCATATGGGTGCCAGTTCAAGTTCTGACCACCCCACTTTTTTATATATATATATTTTTTTTTGACAGGCAGAGTGGACAGTGAGAGAGAGAGAAAAGTCTTCCTTTTGCCATTGGTTCACCCTCCAATGGCCGCTGCGGCCGGCGCACCCCGCTGATCCAATGGCAGGAGCCAGGTGCTTATCCTGGTCTCCCATGAGGTGCAGGGCCCAACGACTTGGGCCATCCTCCACTGCACTCCCAAGCCATAGCAGAGAGCTGGCCTGGAAGAGGAGCAACCGGGACAGAATCGGCGCCCCGGTATGCTGGCGCCGCAAGGTGGAGGATTAGCCTATTGAGCCACGGTGCCGGCTCCACCCCACTTCTGATCTAGCTCTCTGTTATGGCTTGGGAAAGCAGTAGAAGATGGCCCGAGTGCTTGGGCCCCTGCACCCAAGTGGGAGATCAGGAAGAAGCTCCTGGCTACAGATCTGCTCAGCTCCAGCTGTTGCAGCCACTTGGGGAGTGAACCAATGGATGGAAGACCTTTCTGTGTCTCTCTCTGTCTGTGGCTCTGCCTCTCAAATAAATAAAATCTTTTTTTTTAATTTAATTTTTTTTTTTTTTGACAGGCAGAGTGGACCGTGAGAGAGAGAGACAGAGAGAAAGGTCTTCCTTTTGCCGTTGGTTCACCCTCCAATGGCCACCACGGCCGGTGTGCTGTGGCCGGTGCACCGCGCTGATCCGATGGCGGGAGCCAGGTATTTATCCTGGTCTCCCATTGGGTGCAGGGCCCAAGTACTTGGCCGTCCTCCACTGCACTCCCTGGCCACAGCAGAGAGCTGGCCTGGAAGAGGGGCAACCGGGACAGAATCCGGTGCCCTGACTGGGACTAGAACCCGGTGTGCCGGCACCGCAAGGCGGAGGATTAGCCTAGTGAGCCGCGGCGCCAGCCTAAATAAAATCTTAAATATATTATTTGTAGGAAAAAATGATTAGCACAGAAAACCATGCAAAAGCAGCATACAGAGGTGGGCATCTGGCCCAGCAGTTAAGATGCCCACGTCCCCACCAGAACGCCCGCATTCGATTCCGGCTCCAGCTTCCTGCTGAAGCAGACTGAGGGCAGAGGTGAGGACAGGTATCTGGGCCCCTGCTACCCACGTGGGAGACCTGGACTGTGTTCCCAACTCTGGACTTTGGCTTCTGTCCCCTGGCCATTGTGGGCATTTAGGGAGTGAAGCAATAGAGGGGAGCCCTCTCTGTCTTTCAAATATATACAAATCACTAGAACCAACAAAGTGCGTTTGCTGAATACAACAACATAGTAATTGATACTGTTCTTCCATAACAGCATTAAAAGCGTAGCATTTACAGTAAGAACCAGGGGCTGGTGCTGTGGCAGAGTGGGTTAAGCCATCACCTGCAGTGCCAGCATCCCATATTTGTGCCAGTTAAGTCTAGGCTGCTCCACTTCCGATCCAGCTTCCTGTTGATGCTCCTGGGAAAGCAGTGGAAAATGGCCCAAGTCCTTGGGCCCCTGAACCCATGTGGGAGACCCAGATGAAGCTCCTGGCTCCTGGCTTCAGATCGGCCCAGCTCTGGCTGTTGCAGCCATTTGGGGAGTGAACCAGAGGATGGAAGATCTCTGTCTCTCCTCCTTTTCTCTCCTCTCTCTGTAACTCTACCTTACAAATAAACAAATCTTTAAAAAATATATAAGTAGATAGGAGTTAACCCATGAAAGAATGGGGGAAAATCTAATTAGTATTTAATGACATAACAGATTTGAATAAACAAAGACAATAAAGATGTCAGTTACCTTTCAAATCAACCTATACATTTTTTAATTTTTTAATTTTTTTATTTTTTTTATTTTTGATAGGCAGAGTGGACAGTGAGAGAGAGAGACAGAGAGAGAAAGGTCTTCCCTTGCCGTTGGTTCACCCTCCAATGGCCGCCGCTGCAGCCGGCGCACCGCGCTGATCCGATGGCAGGAGCCAGGATCCAGGTGCTTTTTCCTGGTCTCCCATGGGGTGCAGGGCCCAAGCACCTGGGCCATCCTCCACTGCACTCCCTGGCCATAGCAGAGAGCTGGCCTGGAAGAGGGGCAACCGGGACAGAATCCGGCGCCCCGACCGGGACTAGAACCCGGTGTGCCGGCGCCGCAAGGTGGAGGATTAGCCTATTGAGCCACGGCGCCGGCTACCTATACATTTTTAAAAAGATTTTATTTATTTATTTGAGAGGCAGAGTTACAGACAGTGAGAGGGAGAGACAGAGAGAAAGGTCTTCCTTCCATTGGTTCACTCCCCAGATGGCAGCAGCCATGCCCATCCGAAGCCAGGAGCCAGGTGCCTCTTCCTAGCCTTCCACGTGGGTGCAGGGGCCCAAGGACTTGCCCAAGACCTGCTTTCCCAGGCCACAGCAGAGAGCTAGGTTGCAAGAGGAACAGCTGGGAATAGAACCGGTGTCCATATGGGATGGGGCGCCACAGGCGGAGGACTAACCTACTGCGCCACAGCACCAACCCCAACAACCTATACATTTTTATGCACATTTAATAATACATAAAAATGAATGGACAGCTGGTGTGGAGGCTGCCACTTGGGACACTGGCATCCCGTATCAGAGTGCTAGGTCAAGTCCCGGCTCCCCTGCTTCCCATCCAGCTCCCTCCTAACGTGCCTGGTATAGTAACAGATGACCCAAGTACTTGGGTCCCTGCCACCCACGAAGGAGACCTGGATGGAGTTTCTGGCTCCTGACTTCAGCCCAGCTCAGCCCCAGATTGTTGCAGACATTTGGGGAATGAACGAACAGATGGAAAAATCTCTCTAAAAATAAATTTTTAAGATCATTTTTAATTCTTTTTATAATTAATTTATTTGAAAGGCAGAGTGACAGAGAGAGAGATCCCAGGCACCCTGAAATGGGATGCTGGCATTGCAAGTGGCAGCCTAACTGCCCTGCCACAATGCCAGCCCCGAAATTAATCTTTAAAAAAATTAGAATTTCTGCACACTAAAAGTCACCATAAGCCAAGGGGGAAGACAAGTGACAATAAACTAGGGAAAAAATTCAACCCAAAGTTCTCTAACATGCAGAGTTCCCACAAATCCTTAAATAAAAGATCAACAAATTTACAAGTGAGAAAAAAAAATCAGCATTCCTAAAGAGGGGTACCGAGTGGCTAAAAGATGTTCAACCTTATTAGCAATTAAAAAATAAAATACAACACTTCACATCAATCAGATTAACAAGAATCATGAAGAAAACAGAACCCCTGATCACCCTGCACTTCCGGCTGTGAGCCACTCAGCCCCACATGGAGCACTCAGTGCAGCCACCCCCCAGACTGCTCCTGTTACAGGGAACTTAAGTCTCCTCGGCTACTGTCCTCCACTAAACTCTCGGCCACTCCCCCTCATCTGAAAGGGCTTACTGTCACCCTCTCCATCACTCCTGCCCTAAGTCCTGGCTGTTTCCTGAACACTTCCACACTACTAAAGTAGTCCCTCTCCGTCATGAGCTAAACCAGTAACCGCAGCCTCTCCATAACCTCGTCTGTGCACCACGTAAGAATGTGCCACCTTCTGTCTCTCCAGCTAACTCACTCCCCACCCCGACTAGGACCTCCCACGATCACCGACCCATGGACCAAAGACTTAAGAGCACTTGTTTGGCAGGGCTGAACCTAATCAGGGTTCTGTTTGAAAGCCACAGAACAGGGAGGAAAGCCGGCGGACCGGAGACCTCAGCAGGATCCGAGGAGAGAGCCTCTGTCTTTCTGGCCAGCAGATTCCCTGTGCCCTCAGGGACAACGTCCCAGGAACCCTCCCTCTTTCCTGTGTCCTTAATGTTGCTATTCTCACCAGCACCCAAATGTGCTGTTAATTCTCCCGTGTGACTAAAAAGAACTTGTTGGCCCCCACTTTCTGAACCTGGCCACCACTATTTTGAGACAGAATTCCTTGAAAGAAGAATTTATACTTTTCATCTTCACTGCCCCTCCTCCCATTCCTTTATTTATTTATTTAGAGAGTTCCAGCCTCTCTCTTTCCATCCCTAAAGCTCTTTGATCAGCTTTCCATTCTACACCCCCCCCCCCCCAAGGTCATCAGGGACTTCCAGAATGCTAAATCAGCCACTAGTCTCTCCCCTCCTTGAACCCTCCCTAGAATGGTTTCCCGGACACCAGTCCCATAGCTTTGGTTCTCACTGGTCTTTATTTTTTCCTACTTATCTCTCTTCTCCCTAATCTTTTTTATAATGCAATGCCCCTGGGTTCATCCTTGGCCCTCCCGGCCTCACTCCTCAAACCCCACCCATATTCCAAAGCTTGGAAATTTACATCTTGCAGTCCTCACCTCTTCCCAGAACACCAGGCCCTTAGGTCCAACCGCCTACTCAACACTTCTAGCAGTGCCAGACTTTCACCTGATGCACCAAGAGCTTCAGACAGCCACTCTAGGATCTCTTCCTTCCACCAGGCATCCAATCCACCAGCAACTGTGGCTGCCTTCGCCCCTCCCCACCTGGTCTGCCATTCTCTCCCCCCACAGACAGCACACCCTCCAGCTGGCAGCCACGGGGATCCTTCCAGACTGAACATCTTGTCAAACCAGGGTTGTCATTTGTAGGGCCCGATGCAAAGTGAAACCATGGGGCTCCTTGCTCACACCAGAAAGACAAGACCGCAGTGACATAGCGGGCAGCAGGCTCACGAGAGGGGCCCCAGGTCACATCATTTGTCTGCTTCAAACCTCCCAGCCGTGCCTCACGTGAAGTCAATACTGAAGTCCTGACACAGCAGACAAACGCCTCTGCACCCACAGCCCGTGAGCTCGGCATTGGCCTGGATGCAGCCTCACTGGCCTCTCTGCAGCTCCCCAAACACCCGAGGACGCTGGCATGGAGCAGGACGGCTTTCATCCCCTTCAACTCCTTGCTCAAGTATCCTGTTCCCAGTGGAGGTCTACACGACCCTGCAACACCACAGCTGGGAGCACCTCCAACCGTGCCATCCCATGTTTCCTTTCCCATTACAGGTTAGACATAGGACATAACCCGCTCCTCCAGGCACTGTCTGCCTGCCCCAGGAGACAGCAGCCTGTGCCGGCTCGCCCCTCCATTCCCGGTGCACCCAGCGTCCAGGACAGTGGCAGGCCAAGGCGAGGCCCTGAATGAGGGAACACACAGGAACGTCCTGTGGCATTACCCACCATGGCAAACAGCTGGGGAGGGTTTAGGTGTCAGGACAGTGACAGCGCAGAAGGGAACACACGTGGACCATAGGCGGCTACCCAACTGCAGGAAATAACCAACCAACCCTGCATCTAGCAACACAAAGAGCTCCGGAAAACCGTGGGAGCTGGGAAGACAATCAAAAGATTGGGATCGCAACACGGAGGGGAAATGGGCAGAGTCAACCCAAGGCTTTAGCGGCCGCGCTGGCAAACAGGTGCCGCGAATTTTGGAATAATTACCTCGGCTCTCAACTGTGGAGGGTCAAAGGGGAGGAGAAAACAACAAGGCGACGGCCAACCGTCCCCTAAGCAAGCCCTGCACAAGTCTGCATCAAGAGGTGGAGATGCAAACAAACAACACCGTTCCTTCCTTTTTTTTTTTTTTTTTTTTTTTTAAGAGAGAAAAACAAGGCGAGCCTACAGCGCTCCAAATGGCGCCGCCGAGGAGCCAATGAGCGAGCAAGGAGAGGCGGCTCGGCGGAGCCCTAGAACGTTCCGGGCGCGGAGAGGAAGGCGCCAAGGTCGGCGAGACCGGCTGTCCTCCGGGGGCTTCCAGTCGAAAGGCGCGCGCGCGGGGCAGGGGCACACACACCGCGGCGCCCCCGCCAACCAGGCCCCGGCGCGGGCGCGGGGTGCGGGGAGCCGCCTGGCCCCGCCGCGACCCGCGCCCGGCCCGCCGCACGCCCCTCCCCCAGGCCCGGCACTCACGGTTCTGCTCGGCCACGGGCAGATGCGATGTGGTGAAGGCCAGAAAGGCCTCGTTCCCCATGTCCCAGTCGAGCAGTCCCGGGACCTGGCCATGGAGGCTGGCCCAGACGTCGAGCTGCTGGAGTTTGAGGTCCACCTTTAGGGAGAGCACGGCGCGCCCAGCCGCGCAGGGGGTGAGCCTGGAGAGACTGCGGGTGGGCCTCCGAGGGCTTCAAGTACCCTCGCTCCGATAGAATTAGGAGGGAGGCAGCGCAGGTGTGCCAGTCCTCGTTTGACGCCTCTAATCTCGGAGGGAGCCTGCCCTCGCCCGCGGCCGTCGAGTTTGGGGGCTTGGGAACCTCAGGGAGGGGTCCCACAGAGTCTCCCCATCTGTGCTTTTGTGCAGTTATTTTATTTAAAAGGCGTCGTGGCCCTCCCCTCCCCCACTATTTATAGCCGCCTTCTAGAACTTCTGATGGGTTTTTATGGCTTATCTAAAATCACCTCCGTAGCAGATGGTGGAGATAGGATTAGACTCAATGGTGACTTAATTTTGTTCTTAATTATTTTATCGCATTTTAAAAAGATTTATTTATTTACTTAAAAGAGTTACAGAGAGGCAGAGAGAGGAAGTCTTCCATCTGCTGGTTCACTCCCTAAATGGCTGAAACGGCCAGAGCTGGGCTGATCTGAAGCCAGAAGCCAAGAGCTGCTTGCAGGGGCCCAAGAACTTGGATCTACTGCTTTCCTAGACCACAGCAGAGAGCTGGATTGCAAGTGGAGCAGCCAGAACTCAAAATGGTGCCCAAATGGGATGTGAAACTGCAGGCAACGGCTTTACCTGCTACACCACAGCAGTGGCCCCCTTAATTTTAAGTTTACAGAAAAATGCCAAAAAAGCTATAAGAAAATTCCTGTTTACCCATTTCCCAGATTTACCAATTGACATTTGTCATTTTTAATTTTTATACATATGACACAGGTATTTTTTTCTTAGCTTTTTGAGAGTAATTTGGAGATATCATGCACTTTTACCCATAAATACTTCAGTATTTCCCAAAAATAAGGATATTGGCTTACATAATAAAAAATAAGAAAAGTATCTAAATCAGAAAATTTAGCTTTGATGCAGTTCTATAATCAGTATACAGATCTTATTCAAATTTTGCCAATTGTCCCAACAGTGCCTTTTATGTGGGGCCAGTGCTGTGGCGCAGTAGGTTAAATCCCCAGCCTGCAGCATCAGAATCCCATATGGGTGCCAGTTCATGTCCCAGCTGCTCCACTTCTGATCAGCTCCCTGCTGATGTGCCTGGGAAAGCAGTAGAAGATTGAAGTAACACCTTGACATCAGGGACTCTATTTTGGAGCACCCCCCCGACCCCCTCCATGAGACTCTGGTCTGAAACTATGCCCTAAAACACTCAAGCAGTAGCAGTCCACTGCATCACACTAGGCAAAGCATAGAAACCCCCTCGCATGCTCGCTCAAGATTGAAGACAGATAGGTGGGGCCACCACTGTGGCCTAGCAGGTGAGGCCAGTGCCAGCATCCCATATGGGTGCCAGTTCATGTCCTAGATGCTCCACTTCACATCCAGCTCTCTGCTGTGGGCTGGGAAAGGAGTGGAGGATGCCCCAGGCCTGCCCTCTCTTGGGAGACCCAGAAGAGGCTCTGGCTCCTGGCTCCAGGCCTTGGATTGGCCCATCTCTGGCTGTTGTGGCCATTTGGGGAATGAGCCAGCGGATGGAAGACTTTCTGTCTTTTTCTCTTTCTCTCTCTCTCTCTCTCTCTCACTCTGCCTTTCAAATAAATAAATAAATCTTAAAAACAAAAAACAGGCTGCACCTGGGTTACTGATAAGACTGTAATTCGTCCCTGCCCTACATGTTGTTATACCTGAGCAAGTGAAAACAGAAGGGCACCACACATTGATAAAATTGATGGTTCTTCATTGCTGTTGATGGAGAGCATGCTCACGCCCTAAAGAACTCTTGACCCTGAAGCTTAAAGCAACAGGGTTTATAAAGGCAAAAACCACAAGGAGGGGAGGGGGAACACATGGTTACCGGGGTCAAGCTAACCTAAAACCTATGTGAAACTAATACCAATTATAATCTTAACAGTACCAGTTGCAATCTTAATAATTTCAATTAGGTTCTTGACATTAATCCAGGTATTGGCCTAAATCGTATGTAGGACATAGACAAATTACAGTCTTCTCATTAACCCAGGGGTAGCCTATCTGTTTTTAATCTTAAGCGAGCATGCGAGGGGGTCTCTCTGCTCTGCCTAGTGTGATGTCATGGACTGCTACTGTCTGTTTTAGGTCATAGTTTCAGACCAGAGTCTCACATTGGGGGGTGCTTTCTCAAGATGGAGTCAAGATGGAGTCTCAGGTGCTCCAAAATGGAGTCCCTGCTGTCAAGGTGTTACTTCAATATGATTTAGGCCAATACCTGGATTAATGTCAAGAACCTAATTGAAATTGTTAAGATTGTAACTGATATTGTTAAGATTACAATTGGTATTAGTTTCACATAGGCTTTAGGTTAGATTGACCCCAGTAACCTTGTATTCCCCACCTCCCCATCCTAGCAACCATGTATCCCCCCCCTCCTGTTTTTGTGGTTTTTACCTTTATAAACCCTGTTCCTTTGGGCTCCGGGCTTGAGAATTCTTTAGGGCATGAGCCTGTTCTCCCCCTCTGGCAATAAAGGACCACCATATCTTATCAGTGTGTGGTGCTCCTCTGCACTCACTCAAGTACAACAAGATGACCCAGGTCCTTGGGCCCCTGCACCCACGTGGGAGACCCAGAGGAAGCTCCTGGCTCCTGGCTTAGGATCAACTCAGTTCTGGCTGTTGGCAGCCATTTTGGGAATGAACCAGTTGATGGAAGACCTTTCTGTCTCTACCTCTCTCTGTAACTCTGTCTTTCAAATAAACAAAATAAATCTTTTAAAAAATGTCTTTTATGTAATTTTTTTTGGTCTATGATCCTTCAGAATCATTGGGTGCATTTTTTTTAAAGATTTATTTGAGGGGCCGGCGCAGTGGTGCACTAGGTTAATCCTTCGCCTGTGGCGCCAGCATCCCATATGGGCGCCGGGTTCTAGTCCCAGTTGCTCCTTTTCCAGTCCAGCTCTCTGCTGTGGCCTGGGAAGGCAGTGGAGGATGGCCTGGGTCCTTGGGCCCCTGCACCCAGGTAGGAGACCAGGAAGAAGCTCCTGGCTCCTGGCTTTGGATCGGTGCAGCTCCAGCCGTTGCGGCCATCTGGGGAGCAAACCAACGGAAGGAAGACCTTTCTCTCTGTCTCTCTCACTGTCTGTAACTCTACCTGTCAAATAAATAAATAAAAATCTAAAAAAAAAAAAAAAAGATTTATTTGAAAGTCACAATTGCAGAGAGAGAGGGAGAGACAGAGAGACATCTTCCATCCACTGGTTCACTCTCTAGATGGTCACAACAGCCAGACCGAAGCCAGGAGTCAGAAGCTTCTTCCAGGTCTCCCATGTGGGTGCTGGGGCCCAAGGACTTGGGCCATCTTCTGCTGCTTTCCCAGGCCATAGCAGGGAGCTGAATCAAGAGTGGAGCAGCCGGGACACCAGCCGCACCCACGTGGGATGCAGGTGTTGCAGGCAACAGCTTTACCCGCTACACCACTGCGCCAGCCCCATAGAGTGCATTTAGTATCCGTGTCTCTTTAGTATCCTGTAATCTGCAGGCGTTTCTCGGCCTTTATAATCTTTCATTACATTGACGTTTTTGAAGGGCACAGGCTGTTTATTTTGTAAGATTGTCCCTCAGTTTGGGTTTGGCTGGCGTCTCCCCATAATTGAAGTTAGAGTATGCATTTTTGGCACAAATACCACCGAAGGATGGTTCTTGTTCAGTATAAGGCATCAGGGGCGCAGGATGTCAGCGTGCCTCATTGTCAGTGATGGTAATGTCAATGACATGGGTCGGGGGATCCACCGGGCCGTCCTACTATAAAGATGCTTTTCCCCCTATGTAATTAGTGAGCAATTTGAGGGGAGATACTTAGAAATTATCTAGAATCCTGTTCATCAAACTTGGACCCAGTTAAATCCACTTAACATTCTTGCCTAAGTCAGGCATTACGATGACAGTGGTAAAATGGCGATTTTTATGAATCTCTTACTTATTTGCTATTCATTTACTTGGTGTTCTATTGTGTTAAATAAAATTTTGTAGGACGACATCGACTTGAATGAAGTCCCTACTTTGGGTCCAACAGACAAAACCAATATGGAGTTTAATCACAGTAGCTGAGCCTTAGTTCATTGCAGGAAGTTCTGTAACCAATTAACCAATTAAGCTGTAACCAATTAAGTCCTGGCCACAGCTCCTTTCCGTTTTCTCTAACTGCTGTCAGATCATGTTGGTGGGAGTTCCCAGAACCTGCTGTGGTTCTGGGAGCTGCTTGATTCGCAGATTGTTTTCCTTTGCTCAAACCTGACTAAATTTGTTTTAAATTTTTTCTTTTGTTTTTATTTTATTTTTGAAGTTAATTTTTTTTATTTGAAAGGCAGAGAGACACACACAAAGAAGACTGGAGACAGAGAGAACTCCCATCTGCTCATTCACTCCCCAAATACCTGTAATGGCCAGGGCTAGGCGAGAGCCAGGAGCCTGGAACTCAATCCAGGTCTCCCATGAGCGTGGCCGGGACCCAGCTGCTTGAGCTGAAGAACCTTAAAAATCAAACCAAGATGGAGTGACTTAAGCTAACACTATTAAAAACAAGAAGTCATCACCTTTGCCCCAAATAAAAAATTAAAGTTTAAAATTACAGCCCTAAACTTTTTTCCCCAAAGCTAAAATTAGGTGCAGCTATAAAAATAAGGGACCCTATGCTTAGCTAGCTGCAACACTTGTGCCTGGCTGTGCTAAGACCTAACCCAGTTTGTATGCCTCCTCATACTCAAATAACGGTGTGGGAAGCAGGACGCCGCTCTCCCACAAGGGGAACAAAGGGAGCGAGACGTCGCCCCCCCACCCCCACCCCAGGGTGAACAAGATGGCGCTGGCAGGGAAAGGAACTACTAAAGAAGTAAACAACAAAATGGCGACGAGGTGCATGCCTCCCATGTGATCCCGTAGCTGATTGGATAGAAGACGCATGCCCTTCACGTGAACAACTCACGGATTGGACTGCTGTGTGCATGGACTCTATAGTGCTTTTGATTGGTCACTGCGGGCATATAAACCGTGTGGCTTGTACTGGGGGCGCTCTCTGGACTCCCAAGTTCAAGAGGCCCGTCTGCGCAGACGCCGAATAAATCCTCTTGCTTTTGCGTCAGCTGGTCTGGAGTCTGAGTCTCTGGGGTGTGCCTCTCGACATGTTAGCATCCTCACTCTGAGGGTCTAACAGAGCCATCGCCTGGGGCCTCCCAGGGTCTGGGTCAGCAGGAAGCAGGAAGCCGGAAGCAGGAGCAGAGCAGAAGTCAGATCCAAGTATTCCAGTATGGAACGTGGGCATCCCACGTGACATCTTAACCGCTAGGCCAAAAGCACCCCTGTGCATTTTTTCTGATTCTTTCCATAGAATTTCTGGCACTTTCCCAGCCCCTTCCTTCTCTTCAGGGGCTTCTTCATTCATGTGTTCACGTGATCATTCATTTATTCAACAAGTATTTATTGAGTACCTACTGTGTAGAGCCAAGGTTCTACAGGCCTCTGGGAGCAAAGCAGTCTGACGGGGGAGGCAACCTAATAATGACATAAACCCATGATTATAAGCCATAGTGATGCTATATGTAAGACAGGATGGTGGGGGCCGGCGCTGTGGCGCAGCAGGCTAAAGCCCCAGTCTGCAGTATTGGCATCCCATATGGGTGCCAGTTTGAGACCTGGCTGCTCCACTTCTGATCCAGCTCTCTGCTGTGGCCTGGGAAAGCAGTGGAAGATGGCCCAATGCTTGGGCCCCTGCACCCATGTGGGAGACCTGGATGAAGCTCCTGGCTCCTGGCTTTGGATCGGCACAGCTCCAGCTGTTTCAGCCATTAAGGGAGTGAACCAGTGGATGGAAGACCTCTCTGTTTGTCTCTGCTTCTGTCTGTAACTCTGTCTTTCAAATAAATAAAAATAAATATTAAAAAAAAGAATGATGAACCCAGGCTAATGGGGTGGGTGGGGGAATGGAGGCTGGAGAAGAGACAGTGAGCCAACTGTGCAGAGAGCAGCTGCGGGGAAGGAGGTCATTTTGAGTGTATGGAGTGTCTGTGCAAAGGCCCGGGGGCAAGAGGACTGGACGTTGGCAGGAACATGGTGCAAGCTTGGGGGGAGTTATGGAGTAGACCAGGCCTGGCCTCGAAGCTCACCTTAAGGATTTTGGTCTTTACTGTAAGCAATGCAAACATCACCATCCTTATAAGGACTCGATATTGGTGAGGGAAAAGGCAGTGAGGCTGAGCGTTCATGGAGCCCTTCAGTGACCAGACTATGGCAGTCTTGACTCTCTGGCCAGCTGGTGTCCTGTCAGCCTGTTCTCCACCCCGCACCCCGCAGTGCCCTGGCCTTGTCATAGCCGGGACAGAGCTTCCCTCTGCTCCTTTCTCCAGCAGTTCCCATGCTCTGCCAGCTCTGCCCCCGGCCCTCGGGTCTTTAGGCCCCATAAGGCGCACCAGCCCCAGCTTCTGCACCTTCCCCAGGCCCCTGGCTGGGTGGCCTGCTGTGGGCTGTGCAGGGTGTGGGGCTGGGAGCTCTGACGCCCAGACCATCTCACCCTCAGGCCCCTGCCTGCCTCCCTCCTGGGGGAAAGCAGCTCTGAGGCCCTGGGGCAGGTCAGGCACCTGCTCCTGCGCCTGCAGCCTGGGTGTGGAGCCCGGCGGAGGGAAACACACGCTGCAGATGGGGCGTCAGCCTTTATTGTAAGGACTGAGTTCCCTAAGAGGGGACTTGCTGGGGGTGGGGATGAGCTGGGAAGGAACATGGCTTTTAGCGGATCAAAGACCCCAGAGGAGGGAGGTGAGGGCACCGAGGGAGCCAGAGGCTGCTCCCTGAGGCCTGGGAGGAGCCAGGCTGGGGAAGGGGTGGAGCCTGGGCTGGGCGGGGCTGGCCTCCTCACTTGCGGGCGCCCAGTACCAGGGCCGTGATGAAGCCCACAACCAGCAGGAACATGGCGACGGAGAGCAGCACGGTGATGACCACCATGCCCCCTGTGCGGGCCATTCCCAGCCCAATGGACTCCACGTTCCTTCCTGTCGGGAGAGGGAGAGAGAGCGTGAGAGCAAGAGCAAGGGGGGTGGAGCCTTTGGCGGCAGCCTGCTGAGGCTCACAGCCTAGCCCCTCATCCATCCAAGCAACTGACCAACCAATGGGTGCAGACATTTCTGAAGCACCTGTCAGTCACCCAGGACACAGCCCCTGCCTGCGAGGAGCCCTTCACTCAGTAGTGCGGCAGGTGGGTAGACAGGCAGATGGGTGTTAGGGGCCAAGCGCTGGGACGGAGGAGCGAAGGTACCAAGGGGGCCCAGTGGGGCGCAGCAAAGCCAGACTGGGGCTTGGGGGGGTCTGGAGCATGTGTGGGCCCTGACACGTGAGCTGGAGGTGGCAGTGTGACTTACGAGGAAGCGTGGACATTGGGACCTCTCTGCTGGACTCGGCGGATGTCCCCTTCGCCACCAGGTAGGAAACGCTTCGGGGGTTTGGGAGAGAGAGGAGCGACCTTTCAGTGAACAAACGGCACCTGGCAGAGGAGGGTGCTGGCCTGGGCCCCGCCTACCCCACAGTTGTGCTCCCATCTCTGCCCCACCAAGAGAGGCCCAGTTTTTACCCCTTTGGCTGTGCCCTCCCTCTCGCCCCCATGTGACCCAGACCCCCACCCATGAACCTCTCTTCCTGTACCTCCATCCCGCAGATGCCCCAGGACTGGAGTGGGTACCTACTAGTATTTGGTTCCTGGCACGAGATTTGTCACCTGGTATGCGCTGAGCCGAGTGACCACGAAGCCAGCCCCACTGTCTACCACACTCACCAGCTCCCTGCGCCCGCGGCACGGAGGCACCACGAAGCTGGACTTCACCACTGGGCAGGAAATGGGGTGTGGGAGCCAGGGTCAAGTTTCTGGAGACCCCGAAAAGGAGCAATGTTGGAGGCGTGCCCCAGGGGAGGAGTTGCCAGCGTGGTATGAACAGGGGAAGGAACGCGGGTGTCCTGGGACGGGCCCTCTGGGGAGCAGGGGGTCTCCCGGGATGGGGCACAGACCTTGGCTGTCATTGGCTCTGCGGACCCTCAGCGTGGCGTTGCCTCCCGTGAGGTGACAGGGGGGCAGAGCAACCAGCAGGCTCTCCGTTAGCGCCGGGGACAGCAGGCCAGTGAGACCTGAGATGTTGAAGTCTGCTGGGAGGCCAGGAGGGCACTCAGAAGGGAGTCAACTCCCTCCAGGCCATCAGATCTGGCCCTGAACCCCTGGGCCCGTTCTGAGTTCAGAGTCCAGCTCCCCCTCCACGCTGCCACCCATGGGCAGAACAGCCGGACCTGCACGGGTCTGCCCGCCAGGTGGCAGGCTTGGGCTGCAGAAACTGGGTGCTCCACCAAGTTGTTCCCAGCCAGACCTTGGAAGCCAGGAGCGGGAGCAACCAACCTCCTCCCTAGCAAAGCCTTGGACCCATTCCCACACCGCTGTGCCTCCTGGGTCTGGAAAAGGACCAGGAGTGCGCTCTGGGCCTAGCGTCTGCGCCTGGTCACTGCCGTCACCAGCTCCCACCCCCAACAGGCCAGACCAGTACCTCTGTGAGAGCCCTGGAAGGCCCAGTGCCCCCTGCCAGGCCCTCAAGGCCCGCTCCACCCCCACCAGACATGGCAGAGACCTGCAGCCCCTGGGGCCAGGGCAGCCAGCAAAACCAGGATCGAGGGCAAAGTCCAGACGGGCAGCAGAGATGCCATGCCGGGCGGGGAGCTGGACCGGTGCTGGCAGGCTGGGGCTTCCCGAGGCAAGTGAGGCCCTGCCCCCGGGGATGACTGATTATGTCCTGGGGGTGGGAGGGGCTGGAGGGGAATCCAGTCCAACCTGCCCCCTTGGGCCCCACAGCCTCAGGGGAAGGCCCCCAGACAGGTTTTTCAGGATGGGGAGCTGGCCCTGCAGCTGTGGGGCGGGAGATGCCCTGGCTGGGGTCTTGGCAGCCTGGCAGCAGCGGCCAGACTAAATCACCCCTTAGGCACAGTGTGCCTCTGGGGTCTGGCCTGTCGGGGACGGTGCCCCCAGGTTGGGGGTATCCCTGGGGCGGGGGGAGCAGGGAGTTCTGAAGTTACCCTCATGTGTAGGAAAAGGCGAGCAGCCAGGATGGGCTCCTGGAGGGGCCTTGGCTAGGGAAGAATGGGAGAGAGAGCAGACAAGGGGCGGGGGGTTAGAGGCCAGCAGAGCCAAAGAGTCTAATTCTTGGTGTTGACTGAGGCCCAGATTGCTGTGGCTCCAGGAGAGGCGTGGGGGCCTGTGCCGGGGGGTTGGGGGTGTGTGTAAGCACCAGGAGGGCTGGGGAAGACTTCCAGAGAGACCAGACAGCAGATACCAGGGAGGTGGACACTTACCTTGCCCAGCCTTGGACAGCGAGCATTTGCTGAACTGATTGAAAGTAGAGAAAGAACTGGAAAGAGACAATGAAAGAGGGAGCAGGTAAGGAGCAAGCCCAGACTGGGAGGTGAGGTTGTCCCCCGGCTCTGCAGATGTGGGACCCGAGACACAGACAGGTGGACTCACCTGTGGGACGCGGACCGTGGGTGGGAGAGGCTGTTGTAGAGCTCCCGGGGCCCTGCGAGCTGTCTGTCCCCATGTGTCTCTACTCTGTGTCTTCCCCACTTCCAGAGAAGGAAAGTGAGAGGCTGGGGGTGGGGGGAGATGTGGCCTTACCTCCATGGTGGGGAGCAGGGGGCAGGTGGGGGATGACAAGGAAGACAGAACTCCCCAGCACCTGTCTGCAAATCTAACCAGCTCCAGAGGCCCCGGGCATCTTGTTAGATGTGGGCGCTGATTCGGGGGTCTGAGGTGAAGACTGAACGTCTGCATTTCTGATGAGCTTTCTTCCAGGCGGCCCCGAGGGGGCAACCTGAGAGGCCCACAGCTGGGGTCCCAGAGAGTCTCTGGCAGCCCCCACCCGACCCCTGCCCAGGGCGGTGTTTTCTTCCCAGTCTGCCAGGACAGGCTACCTCTGAGTACAGAACTGAATCTGTTTCCTGTCTCTTGACTTTTGGCCCTGTTTGGATCAGATCCTACCATCGCCCTACAGATGGAAAGAGGGCCTTTGGCACATTAAGGAGAACTTGGGGCACAGCAGGTTAGGCTGCCACCCTCATCCCATGTAAGTGCCGTCAAATTCCACTTGTTCTACTTCCCATCCAGCTCCCTGCTGATGTGCCTGGGCAAGTGGCAGAAGACGGCCCAAGTGCGTGGACTCCTGCACCCACACGGGAGGCTGCTGGCTTCAGCCTAGCTCAGCCCCAGCCATCGTGGCCATTTGGGGAGTGAACCAGTGGATGGAAGATGTCTCTCTCTTTCTGTGTGTGTGAGTGTGTGTGTGTCTAACTCTGCCTTTCAAATAAAATAAATCTTGAAGAAAAAGGGGAACTCGGGAGAGCGGGAACAGACTGAATGGTAGAATGCTGGGTGAGGGGACTTCCTGGGGCTCCTCAAATCCCACCTCCCAGCCGGCAGGATGTTCACACTGGCACTTGGGAGGCACCTCTTGCCATTTCAGTCACAGTCAGGAAGCAAAGAGAACAGGTTGGGTTTGTTGCAGAGCAGGTTGCTTTGGGTCCACGCATAAGCCCCCAGCCCCATCGGGAATTACGACTGGGACAGAGTGGGGGAGGGGAGGGCAGATCTCTGACGAGATTTGAAAGGTCTGTGTAGGCTCTGTGCCTTTAAGCCCTCCCTTCTCCTTGCAACCCCCCCCCCCCACGTTCCCCACCCCAACCCTCCCCAGGTTTCTGGAGGAGCTGAGAGTTGCGTCTTCTCCCTGCCCTGCCGAGCTGCTCACTGGCTGCTCTGGAGGCTGTGCTTTGCGGTCTCCATGGAAACCATTAGTTGCTAAGCAACTGGAGCATCATCTGTGCTGAGCTCTCGCATCTAATTATCCCATCACAGTGGCTGAGAAGGGTTTGGGGAGCTGAGAGGAGGGGGAGGCCAAGTGCAGGAGCAAGAGGATAACTCTTTTAGCAGAACAGATTCATTGACAATGCTGAAGTCATTTAAAGTCACAGCACCCTGTTCCTCTGAGGATTTCTCCATGGCTTGCCGGGAGGGAACCAGGGCCACAGGTGCCTGGGGGCTGTCTTTTGGACTCAGTTTTTCCAGGCTGTCTCAGCTTTGGAGTCTTGATCTTGATTCTGCATTCTCACGTTCCCTCCCCAGCTTTCCTCCTTCTGGATCTCGTATTCAATCCCACAGATGGTTGCTGAGTACCAAGCGTGTCTGTCCTAGTAGGCACCAAGGTAGAAGGGGCAGAGAAGTTTCTTCCACCAAGGAGCCGCTCTGTCTCTCTCTGCCCCGACTCGCTCCTGGCACGGACCTCTCCTTGCTGGACTGTGAGACTTTTTCTTTTCTGGTCTATGGCACTTCTGTAGCCAGAAAAGCTGGACTCAGAGCCCAAGTGTTTCTGACGCGCCTTTGGTTCTCTTTCCACATTGCTGCTCTCCCGCCTCCTGATTAGAAACACATGTCTGGCTCCACGGGCAGGTCAGCCCCCGGTGGCTACTCCAGTCCTCCTGTTTCTGAGCGATGCCATGCAACTTCAGCTGGGTCTTTTTTAAAAAAAAAAGTTCATTTATTTTATTTGAAAGGCAGAGTGACAGAGAAAGAGAGACAGAGACAGAGTGAGATTTTCCATCTGTTGGTTCACTTCCCAAATAGCCACAACGGCCTGGGCTGGGCTAGGCCAAAGCCAGGAGTCAGGAGCTCCATCCGGGTCTCCCACCTGGGTGGCAGGGTCCCAAATACGCTGACCATCTTCCACTGCTCTCCCGGATGTATTAGCAGGGCTCTGGGTCAGAGCAGCCCGGATGGGAAATGTCAGTTCTATATGGGATGCCGGTGTCACAAAAGGTGGCTTACCCCCTACACCACCACGCTGGCCCCCGGGGGGTTGCTCTGAACTTCAGTTTTCACACCTTTAAAATGGGAAGACTCATTCCCTCCCTACTCTAAAGATTGAGCAAGATATGATAGGTGTAAAAGTGGTTGAAAATAAAGATGCAGGAGGACTGCTGGAGACTCTGTCATCGCGTGTAGGCGAGGGGGGCCCGCGCTGTGTGTAGGGTAAGCTTCCACCTGAGACGCCGGCATCCTATGTGGGCTGCTCCATTCCCAACCAAGCTCCTGCTAGTGGCCTGGGGAAAGTAGTGGAAGATGGCCTAAGTGTTAGGGCACCTGCTGCCCATGTGAGAGACCCGGATGAAGCTATGGCTCCTGGCATTGGCCTGGCCAAGCCCTGGCCCTTGCAGTCATCTGGTGAATGAACCAGTGGATGGAAGATTGATATCTCCCTCTCTCTCTCTCTGTAACTCTGCCTTTCAAATAAATAAATAAATCTTTTTTGAGAGAGAAGGGGGGAGAGAGAGAGAGAGGGAGAATCCCAGCTCCAAGGGTTGGAAGAGACCTAGATGCTCTCTCTCTCTCTCTTTCTCTCTCTCTTTTTTTTTTTTTTTTTAATGTAGCCTGTGATACAGCACTTATCCTGAAGTCCCCTTCCAGCTTTGTGCTCTGGCCGAGTTACCTGCCTGCTCTGAGCTGCAGTTTCATCTTGTATAGAAAGGGGATGAGGAGCTAGCCCTGTGGCGTAGTGGGTAAAGCCACTGCCTGCAGTGCCAGCATCCCATATAGGCACCGGTTCAAGTCCCAGCTGCTCCACTTCTGATCCAGCTCCCTGCTATGGCCTGGGAAAGCAGTGGGATATAGCCCAAGTCCTTGGGCCCCTGTATCCACAAGGGAGACCTGGAAGAAGCTCCTGGCTCCTGGCTCTGGATTGGCCCAGCTCCAGCCATTGCAGCCAATTGAGGAGTGAATCAGTGGATGGAAGACCTCTTTCTCTCTGCCTCTCCTTTTTTTCTCTGTGTAACTCTGCCTTTCAAATAAATAAATAAATCTTAAAAAAAAAAAAAAAAGAAAGGGGATGAAACCTGTCTTGCTGGAATTTTGTGACTATCAGATGAATTTATTTAAGAGTGCCTAGTACAGTCTCTGGCTCAATGAACTCTACCTCTGCCTGTCAAAAAAAAAAAAAAAAAAAAAAAACACTAATGGAAGTCATTTATTGTATCCTTTCCTTTTCATTAACCCTCATTGCCAATGAAGACCAGAGGCCCAGAGGCCATACATGACTTTCTTTCCTTCTCCTCCTCTTCCTCCTTCACCTCTTCCTCCTCCAAGACTTATTTATGGGGCCGGTACTGTGTGCCAGCATCCCATATGGGCACTGGTTCTAGTCCCAGCTGCTCCTCTTCCGATCTAGCTCCCTGCTATGGCAGTTGAAGATGGCTCAAGTCCTTGGGACTCTGTACCCACATGAGAGGCCTGGAGGAAGCTCCTGGCTCCTGGCTCCTGGCTTTGGATCGGCACAGCTCTGGCTGTTGCGGCCATCTGGAGAGTGAACCAGCGGGTAGAAGACCTCTCTCTCTGTCTTTATGTCTCTCTGTAACTCTGTCTTTCAAATAAATATAATAAATCTTTAAAAGAAAAGACTTATTTATTTATTTGAAAGACAGAGTTACAGAGAGAGAGGGAGATTTTCCAACCACTGGTTCACTCCCTTGATAGACACAATGGAAGGGCTGGGCCAGGCTGAGGCCAGGAGCCAAAAGCTTCATCCGGGTCTCCACGTGAATGGCAGATGCCCAAACACTTGGGCCATCCTCCACTGCTTTTCTCAGGCCATTAGCCGGGAGCTGGATTGGAAGTAGAGCAGCCAGGATATGAACTGGTGCCCATTTAGGATGCCAGTGTCACAGGTGGTGGCTTTATGCCACAGTGCCGGACCCCACATATGACTTTTTGAGGGTCACAGCAGATAAGGAATGAGGTGGGATGTAACTCAGAATTTGTTTTTCCAACTATGCCATTGAAAGGCATGGAAAGGTAGCCCAAGTGCAAAGGCGGCTGAGCTGGGGCCAGCTGTTCCCCGTGTGTCCCTCAGAGGCAGCAGACACACACTGCCTGCCCACGCACTCATTCGTCAGTCGGTGCGCATCTCGTCTCTGGTGGTACCAGGCCAGGTGTTGAGATGCAGAGATAACCAGACGCAATCCCTGTCTCACCTTGCTGAGGGTCGAAGAACAAACTGCAGTTAGGCTGGTTGAGATAAGTGGAAGGGCATATTCTAAAACAGAGGGAGCAGCTTAGAGTAGGCTAGCGGCGTGCATTAGCCTGGAAACTGCAAATGATCCATGGTGGCCGGAAAGCAGGACTCAAAGACGGGCATGGTGTGAGCCATGCCACCGGCTGGCGACCAGGACTTCGGAGCCCATGCGAAGGCTCAGGGCTCAGTGTTTGCCCTGCAGAACACAGAAGGCCTTTGAGGGGTTTTAAGTGTGTCGAGAGCATTCTGGCAACAGTGTGGAGAATGGATTGGCAGCCGGGAAGACACGGGGCAGGATGACTAGGCGAGAAGCAAAATGACCCGAGTGGGAGAAAGTGTGCCAGGCAGGAAGCACAGGCACAGCCGGGAGCCCCCAGATGGCAGGGCAGGCGGTTCCCAGGAGGCTGACGGGAGTCGGGGGTTGCCTGCAGAGCAAGCTCAGGGAAGGAAGAATGAAGATCGGTTTCCAGATCTGTGTTTCAGAGTGGATCTGAGGGAGGGGCAGGGAGAAGGAGCTGTGGCTGTGCTGGGTGCTGCGATGCCAGCTCCAGGGTCAGCCCGTGACCTCTGCTCCCACCAGGTGCGCCCGCATGTGTAGCCCCGCATCCGTGTGTGGCCAATAGAACAGGCAGCGGTGATGGCATGCCACAGCTGAGGCTGAGCGGTAAGAAGCAGGCGCCTTCCTCCTGCCGCCCTTCGGAAGGCTCTCTCGGGAGGATACGCAGTGGCTGCTATATGAGGGGGTCTACATGGGAGGGGCTGAGGCCTCCGCCAAGGAGCCGCGGGTCATCTTGACCCCCCCCCCCCCCCCGCCCCAGGCAGCAGGTCCGAGAACTTGTGCACTCTCAAGCTGGTCGTCCACCTCTGCTCGAACCCTTGGAGGACTGCACCTGTGCCGCCAGCCTCGCTGAAGCCTGGTGAGATGCCAGATCCAGCCAGTCAAGGTCTCCCAGACCCCCTCCTCAGGAGAAACGCTTGCTTTTATGAGGCACTAAGTTGTGGGGTGACTTGCTATGGTGTAGTAGACAACCAATAGAACCGTCCTGGGGAAATCACAGACATTTGCATCATCGAGGGAGAGACAGAGCTCCACCCCCACCCCCACCCCGCCCGCACCGGGTCCCTTTCCAAATGCCCTCAACACCCAGGGCCTGACCAGGCTGAAGCCAGGAGCCAGGAACTCCATCTGCGTCTCCCATGTACCATACTTGAACCACCACCTGCTACCTTCCAAGGTGCGCATTAGCAGGAAGCTGGATCAGAAGTGGAGGCGGGACTTGAACCCCACACTCTGTTACGGGATGCAGGCCCAGACCCAAATTCTGTGCCTGCCTGCCCCGCCCCCAGCCCTCCCAGCCAAGCCCTCACCAAGCACCGGCAATTTTGCCGTCCCCTGAAAGCCCCTTCTGCTAGAATGTGATCTCCACAGCCCCGCACCCTCTCCCCACTGCAGCAAGAGTGAGCTTTGTAGACTCAGGTTTGACGACCTCTC